GCAAGAAACAGTTGACTTTAGTAAAGGTGGAAGGTGAAAATGAGCTGTAAGTGTGACTCGAGTTTAGTCGGGCCGCTTTGTGAGGTGCTGAGCTGGCTCTTGTTTCTGCTTTCTAGAGATGCACGGGTGGTTAAGGACATGGCAACAGGCAAATCCAAAGGCTATGGCTTCGTCTCCTTCTTCAATAAATGGGTAAGCTGTGCCCGGTCTGGAAATGGGGGGGGGGGGAATCTTCAGTACGAGCTGCAGAAAAGGAGTAATTTTGGTCCTCATCCGCTCCTGGCTTCCCCAGGAACGAAACGTCCTCAGTTTCCCCTCGTGCTGAGGGTGGGGATGGCTTTGTAACCTGCTGATTCTCGTGGGTGTGAGAGGTGGGGAAGAAAAGCAGCAGTGAGTCTGGATGGAGAGTTGTGCTACTCAGGCGTTCCTTCTTGGTTAGAGACACTGGTGATGCTCAGGCTTCCACGGTGAGCCAGCAGTGGAGTAAGTGAGTGTTTTCTCTCTCTTGTGGGCAGGATGCAGAGAATGCTATTCAGCAGATGGGCGGCCAGTGGCTCGGTGGAAGGCAAATCAGAACAAACTGGGCAACGAGAAAACCTCCGGCTCCAAAGAGTACATACGAATGTGAGTGTTTGCATATGCAAAAGCAAACCTTATACCACACACACAGGGAGGAGGGGAGAATTGTGAGCTCCAGGCAATTGGCAGCTGTGGGAGAGGGGAAAGTGGGTGCTCAAAAGCAAAGATTCTCGATTCAAAACGGTGAACAGATCAACTTCCTGAGCTAGAACAGCTGTATTTCCACTGCCACCCAGGGCTTCCTGCTGGCTCTGCATGCTCTGGAAAGCTGCTCCCAGTCAGGACGGCTGGGATGAATGTGGGGTTGTTTTAACTTTGCTCTCTTGGACTATGGCTTCCTTTTGTGATGCAAAGCCAGAGGGGCTGTATTAAAGCATTTCCATGAGAGAGATTGGAAATGAAGCGTGCCTTGATAAGTTTGACACGTGAACTTCATTGCACAGCAGTGTCCCTGTCAGTAGCAGCCCATCCTAAACAGGAGCGGGTGGCTGTGGGCAGCCAGACAAACCCGAGTGAAAATGCTGACTGTGCTCGCAGCGTTTGTCACCAGCTCTGTCAGCACGGTTCCTAGGATGGGATCAGAACTGCTCCATGATCAACTGAAAAAACACTCTTGCAAATCTCTTTTAAGCAAACACCAAACAACTGTCTTACGATGACGTGGTCAATCAGTCCAGCCCCAGCAACTGCACCGTGTACTGTGGAGGCGTCACTTCAGGCCTGACAGGTATCGTGTCCCCAGAGCACGTTGTCACACGGAACGACTCCGGATAACCGTGTGCCCTCATGCTGGCGTTGTGCTGCTTCTTGTTGCAGAGCAGTTAATGCGCCAGACCTTCTCTCCATTCGGGCAGATAATGGAAATCCGAGTCTTCCCAGATAAAGGCTACTCCTTTGTACGGTAGGCTGTCGTGCGCTCGCACAGCAGGTGGAAGAATGTAATGAAAACGAGTGGCTGTGTGCCTAACCAGAGGGTTCTAACAGCAGGCTTCTCAGCCTGCTTGCAATGCTTCCAGTTTGGTTCCCATTGGCACCGTTTCCATCCCAACAGGTTTAATTCTCACGAGAGCGCTGCGCACGCCATCGTTTCTGTCAATGGGACGACTATAGAGGGCCATGTGGTGAAGTGCTACTGGGGGAAGGAGACGCCTGACATGGTCAGCCCGGTGCAGCAGGTCAGAAGTGCTCCTCTGCTCGTGTCCAAAATGGCTGTGTGGCATTAGTCCTGCATAGAAACCTGCTGTTGTGGCACGTGGTGGTTTGACGTGGGGCTGCTCTTTATTTCATTGCTGGGTGTTTCTCCAAAGCGATTACAGATCCTTTGAGATCTTATTGAGGAAAAAAAGATGAGGTAAAATTTTGAAGCAGATTTGCTGGAGGCTGTCCTGCACGTGGCATTTCTCTGCGCCACGGAAAGAAATGCCCAGGAAAGAGGAACAGCAGCAGCCTCAGTGAGAAAGCTCTGGGCTCTGAGAAAGCAAAGACCCCACGCAAAACACTGGGGGTCTTCAGTAATGAAACACTTGTGCTCTCTGAAGGGCGTCCTGCTAGATATCTGTGTTTCCATTTCAGTGTCGTTTCACTTGTAAGCTTCCAATCTGAGGCGCGGCGCGCTGTGAGCAGCTGAGCTGTGTTCTCAGGCAGTGCCTAACACGTTTTGTCCTTGCAGAATCAAATTGGATACCCTCAGGCTTACGGGCAGTGGGGGCAGTGGTACGGCAGCGCGCAGCTGGGGCAGTACGTGCCCAACGGGTGGCAGGTCCCCGCCTATGGGATGTACGGGCAGGCGTGGAACCAGCAGGGCTTCAAGTGAGTACATGCTCCGTGCTTTCCCAAGCTTGAAGTCACATCCCAGGGATTTTCCTTTAAGGGAGGTGATGTTCTGAGGCTGCAGCGTGTGAAGTTGTTAGGTGTAGCAGTGCCTGTGCTGTGCGAATGCTGAGGAGAGGATAGGAGAGCTCTCCTCGTGTGCCTTTGTTGGGGCAGCAGCGGATGAATTCTTATTTCTTATTCCAATTATTTTCCAAACGACGTTGAGCTTTAGCACATCGACTTCTAAATGTGGATTCTGCTCATTGTGCTGCCAATGTGGAGCTGTTCTGCTGTTGTCACTCAACGCTGGTAACGGCTGTCTCAGATCATAGAATCATCACAGCACAGTTTGGGTTGGAAGGGACCTCAGGGATCACGAAGCTCCCATTTCCCTCCAGCAGGCAGGGCTGCCAAGCTCCACATTTAATACTAGAGCAGGCTGCCCATCCAACCTGGCCTCAAACACCTCCAGGGATGGACGAGGCATCACAGGGCAGCTGTTCCAGCATCTCACCACTCTCAAAGTGTGCAAAGAACTTCCCCCTGACATCAGGCCTAAATCTCCCCTCCTTCAACTTCAAACCAAAGAACTTCCCCCGACGTCCAGCCTAAATCTCCCCTCCCTCACCTTCAAACCCCTTGTCCTGCTGTTATCCACCCTTTCAAAGGCTTGACTCAGAACTAAACGCAAAGGGAAGCAAGGGACACACAACACTTACCAGCTTTTAAGCAATAGTAGCACAGGCCTTCTGGGGTCTGCCTGCCTTGATACACCACAACCAACAGAGAGAAACTGCTTTGTGTGGGGAGGATCTCCAGATGTCCCTTCCATCCCCTGCAGTGTCGTCCCTTCATTCCTTAACGCGCTGTTTCTCCCCCAACAGTCAGACACAGTCGTCAGCAGCGTGGATGGGAGCAAACTACAGCGTTCAGCCCCCCCAGGGGCAGAATGGCAGCGTGCTGACAAACCAGGCCGGGTACCGAGTGGCAGGATTTGAGACACAGTGAGAACCCAACGCCGCCGCTGGGTGCTGGTGGGGCTCGAGCAGCGTCACAGAGATGTGTCAGATCAAGTCAGTGCAAGCATCAGATGCAATGTATTTATTTAAGAGAAAGAAAGAAAAGAAAAAGGAAAAAACAAACAAACAAACAAACATTTTTAATCGTGAAGTTGTCATCCACGTTGTTTAAAAAAAAAAAAAAAACACAAAAAACACAAAAAACAAAAAAACGAGATGCTGGATGTCTGCCAACCATTGCCTTCTTTTCCTCTTTTCTAGATGTGTTTCTTAACGGCCCACTGTTGAAACACAGCAAATTGCAGGGACTGCTGCCGCTTAAACTGGGGGGCAGCAAATTGCACAACGTCAGACTTGTTGTTTTGTTGTTTTTGGTTTTGTTTTTTTTGTTGTTTTTTTTTTTTTAATTATTATTCCCTCGGGAGCAGCGTGCGGTTGTGGTTTGCATTCCGAACGATTTACAATGTATTATAAAAGCTGTTGTACAAAAAAAAAAAAAAAAAAAAACACATAAAAAAAAGCCAAAATGGTGTGGGGTCCTGGAGGCTCTCTGCCCTCAGCTTCTGCACAGCCCTTCTCAAAGAGCCTCTTGTACAGAGCGTCCATCCCTCCCCTCCCATCCGAGCGGCTCTTGCAGAGGCCGGCTTCTTAGTTTACATCGTTTCCCACCCGTTCATTTGCTCAGCCTTTGCCTTACGACCTCCATCCCCCCATCGGTGCCCACCGACCCGACGTTGCGGGGTGCGAAGGGGTGCCTCCACCACGCCGATGGCAGAGGATCCCCATCTCTGCTGCTGCAGGGAAACCCCGTTACAACTGGCTGAAAATGTGACAATTCTACCAACCAGCTCCTCGCTTGGTTGGTTGTGGCTGGGTTTTTTTTTGTTTCTTTTTTTTTCCTTTTTAAATCGATTTCTACATTTACATGTACTGATTATGTAAAATATTTTAGCAAATTAATATTTTGCACAAACATAGCCGACTTTGTACGTTTCCTTTATTTAAAGGTAGGACGCCGAGTTCTTGATTTATGCATATATATATTATTTTTTTTTGCATGTGGATATCAAATATACACCTTGGTAGTCTTTGAATACAAAGTCATCCTCACTTTGTTTTTAAGAAACTGTTTAAAAACAACAAAACGAAACAACAAAAAGAAAGCAAACAGAAAACCCCTCTGTGGAGCCGTGCGATGAACGTGGAGGTTCCAGGCTGGGGGAGCAGCTGGGAAAAGAATCTCTCGATGTTCAGAGGCCAAAAGCGATCTTTCTGTGCTACCTCTATGAGCAGCCTTCAAAAAAATGCAAAACAAAAAAAAAAAAAAAAAAGGAGAAAACAACAACAAAAAAAAAAGAAATCAAACCGAAGTTCTGTGTGCTCTCGTTTCTTTACCCGATGGTTCCGGGCTGAACTCAGGCGCGAGGGTGGGCGCTGGATTTTGGGGCGGAAAGGTCGGAAGTGGGTTTAATTAGAACGGGGTGCTCAAACGGGGTGGAACTGCGCGTGCGCGATGGCGCCGCCGTGGACTCCATCTCCCAGCGCCCCCTGCGGCGCACCCACGTGATCGCGGCGACCCAATGGGAGCGCGGCGGCGGGCGGGCGGGCGCCATGGCGGAGGTGGGGCGCTGAGAGGCCTCGCGGCCGGGCCCGGGCTGGAGCGGGGGGCGCGCGCCGCCGCCCAGGTAAAAAGGAAGGGAGGGGGAGGAGGAGGGGGAACGGAGCGGGACCCGCGCCCGCGGGACAGGAAGTGACGTCAGAGGGGCGGGGGGACGGAGGGAAAGGGCCGGCGGGGCGGCCCCTGGCGGCGGGGGGCGACGTCACGGCGACGCCGCTGCGGTGACGTCACGCGGCGATGGGCTGAGGGGAGCGGGCCGGGGCGCGAGGAGGGGAGCGGGAACGCTGTGCTTCTGGGCTGCTTCGCACGGCGGGGCGGCCGTCGGCAGCGCCTCCTCCCCTTGGTCACAGCGCACCAAAGCTGCGTGCGGCAGCCGAACCGTCCGGAGCTGCGTCAGGGAGGGGCGGGGGGGCGCGGGGCTGTCAGACATCGGGGCCAATGGAACAGTGGAGCTCTGCGGTTCCGTGAGCACCGCGGTTCCCCCGGCTCCTATGGCGCTGTTCTGTCAGGAGCCCCTCGGGACGAGGAGGAGTGGTTTTAAAGTGAGACAGGGCGGGTTTAGGTTGGATGTGAGGAGGTGTTTTTTCACACAGACGGTGGTGACGCACTGGAACATGTTACAAAATCACAGCATGACAGAACGGCCAGGGCTGGAGGGACCTCGAGGATCGCGGAGCTCCAACCCCCCGCCGCACGCAGGGCCACCAACCTCCACATTCAGCAGCAGCCCGGGCTGCCCAGGGCCCCATCCGACCTGGCCTCCAACCCCTCCAGGGATGGACGGGGCATCGCAGCCTCTCTGGCAGCTGTTCAGCCCCTCCCCGCTCTCACTGCACACAACTTCCCCTGACATCCGACCTCCAGCTGCCCTCCCTCCATTCAAACCGTTTCCCTCGTCCTGCTGCCATCTCCCCTTGCACACAGCTGACTCCCCTCCTGCCCGCAGGCTCCCTTCAGGCACTGCAGGCTGCACTGAGGTCACCCCGCAGCTTCTTTTCTCCATGCTGAACGAGCCCAGCTCCCTCAGCCCGTCTTCGTGGTGGAGGTGCTGCAGCCCCTGCTCATCTCTGCGGCTCCTCTGCGCCCCCTCCAGCAGCTCCATGTCTTGTACTGTTGCCCAAGGAGGCTGTGGATGCCCCATCCCTGCAGGCATTCAAGGCCAGGTTGGATGTGGCTCTGGGCAGCCTGGGCTGCTGGTTGGTGACCTGCACGTAGCAGGGGGTTGGAACTGGATGATCATGGCGGTCCTTTTCAACCCATTCCATTCTATTGGCTCTGTGATCACCAAGAAGCTTGGCAGCAAGGCAGGCAGTGGGGATGTGGGGCGATGCATCCATCTCACACATTTGTGCAGGCACCCAAAAGCTTTGCGTCACTTTTAGCCCATGCATCCCATGCAGCCTGCATACGTGCAGGGCGGGGAAGTGCTGACTTGCTGCAGTTGTGGCAATCAGCCACCTTCCCCCTCCTGTTCCTCTCAGCTCAGGAGCTGCGAGGCCTCCATACCTGCTGCACGGGGGACCTGTAGGTGTCACCACAACCGAGCTGTGCTTCCCCCATCCTGATGCTTCTCCCCCATCTCTGCCTTTCCAGGAAGATGGAGCCCACATCGGTGAGAACCAAAGTGCCCTCCTTCCTTTCCGACCTGGGCAAGGCCACGCTGAGAGGCATCAGGAAATGTCCCCGCTGCGGCACTTATAATGGCACCCGTGGGCTGAGCTGCAAGAACAAGAACTGCGGCACCGTCTTCCGCTACGGCTCACGCAAGCAGCCCGGGGTCGATGCTGTTAAGATCATCACCGGCTCCGACCTGCAGCTCTACTCGGTGCGTCAGCGGGACCGAGGCCCGGATTATCGCTGCTTTGTAGAGCTGGGTGTTTCAGAAACGGCCATCCAGACGGTGGACGGGACCATCATCACGCAGCTCAGCTCCGGCCGCTGCTACGTCCCGGCTTGCCTGAAGGCGGCCACGCAGGGTGTGGTGGAGAATCAATGCCAGCACGTCAAACTGGCCTTGAACTGTCAGACCGAGGCCACCCCGCTGACCCTGAAAAGCTCGGTGCTCAACTCCATGCAGGCCTCTCCCGAAACGAAACAGACTATTTGGCAGCTGGCCACGGAGCCCACGGGGCCACTGGTGCAGAGGATCACCAAAAGCGTCCTGGTGGTGAAGTGTAAGGCCAGCCAAAAGCACAGCCTGGGCTACCTGCACGCCTCCTTCGCCCAGAAGATGAGCACGAAGACGCTGGCGGAGCACAGGTTCTTCTGCTCCTGCCAGACCCTGAAGCCTGGCAAGGCCGCCTCGGCCAAGGAGGAGGCAGCAGCACAGAGGTGCATTCACTTCTTCGCCTGCATCTGTGCCTTTGCCAGCGACGAGAGCCTGGCCCAGGAGTTTGCCGACTTCCTCACCCACGACTCAAGCGGTATCTGAGGCTGATTCGGGGATTTTGAGAGGGAAATAAACGGGGAGCCAAGGGGAGCAGGCCACCCTATTGCTCCTGCTCACGCCGCAGCCAGTGCTGGCCTGAGGGCAGCCCTCACACCGGCTCCCCATGGGCGCTTTGTCGGCTGGGGCTTCATTTCATTCCCCCTCCCACCAGGAAGTGCTCGCAGGCTGTGAGATGCAGGTGTGAGAGCAGAGCAGGGGGCTGCCCTGGGGGACGGGTCCCCTTTGCTTTGCTGCAATCGACGCTTGTAGCAAGTGGAGCTTCCTCTTGTGGGATGGGAACTGGGTGTCTTCTTCCTTTTGGGCAAGAGCAGCGAAGCTGAAGGTGTTGTGAAATCCACATGGGGCAGAAGTCACCGGGTTTGTGTGCTCTGCGGCCCGAAGGCTGCACCCAGCTGGTCCTATGAAGCATTTGGAATGCTCCCTAACACAGACTGCTCTAGGTGAATTAACCCAAGCTAATTAAAACCTCTCCCCATCTCAGTTCTGCTAGGCTCAGTAGTGCTTAGGGTGCAGCACTGTTCCCTTCAATCCCTCTGGGGACAACACACGGTGCCCAGCTGGACCTGAGCAGGGAGCAGAACACAGTTAGTGCCCAGGAGCCCCCAGCGACGATCCTTTCCACCCCCAGGAGAGCTGCCTGTCTCTGCAGCCTCGCTTTTCCCCTCTGGGCTTTTCCCCTGGTTTTGGTTCTGGTTTTCTGTGCGGTTTTTGCAGGCAGCAGCTCAGGATGTGGGAACTCCACGTGCAGCACTCGGCACGTTTGCTGCTCGCTGCTTTGGGGAGCGCTCCCTGCCTGTCAGGCGAAGCTGAAAACAAGCCAAACCCCAAATATTTGGCTCGAGGCTCCTGTTTTTCTTCCTCTGTCTGCGTGGATCAGTCCTGCCAGCCCCATTCAGGGTCGGCTGTGGAGCGTGGGCTGGATGCGAGGCAGCAGGGCAGCGAGGTGAGGCAGAGGTGCTTTTCATGACCGCCTGCTGTCCCCCCTTAGGTGTGAAGGGGGTCGCCGTCCCTCCGCTGCTGTGCGGCCCCGAGTCCAACCTGCAGGCTGGAGAGGCTGCCAAGGCCAAGAAGAGGAAAAAGGAGTTAACGGGCGGTGAGTGCGGCGCTGGGCAGGGATGGGAGCTGAGGCATCAGCACAGCGTGTGCCCCAACCTGCCCTCCTTTCCCCAGGGCCTCTTCTGGCTCAGGACACGGCCGGCCTAAGGAGAAGCAGCCTGAAGAAGCCCACGGTTGCTGCCTCGCTGAAAAGGCAAGGTAGGGCTCGGCTCCACGCTCTGTGTTTTTTGGTGCTGGTGGTGCTGATGTCCAGAGCTATCCATCCCAGATGGAAATGGGGCAAAGTTGGGTTTTTTAGGGATGAATACTTGTCCAGAAGGAACTTTGGGGCTCTGGCTGCCCACCTGGCTCTGTGCTGCAGGGAAAGGAGACGCAAACTGCCATGGCAGCGTCCTCCTCAAGGGATTCTCCTTGGCATGTGTGTCCTAACTGTTATCTCTGAGCATTCACAGGCGTGTGCTGGACAGAAGGGTCAGTATGGCACTGCAAAATCCTTTGGGTGAAAAACCCAAATCCAGATGGCTGGAGCTGACGTCTCTCTCCTTCGCCTCACAGGCTGTAACCAACTTCTGGACGAGTCACAAGTTACCCTGTCCTTCCAAGACTGGCTGGCCAGCGTCACTGAGCGCATCCATCAGACCATGCATTACCAGTTTGAGGGTAAGCTGGGCTTTGGGAGCGCGGTGGGAGCCTCCTTCCAGCTCCTGACCGTGAAATAACTTCACCCAAAGGGAGGCACCTGCTTTGCTCAGCTCAGAGCGAATGTTGTTTTTACCGGTTGGCTTTGCTTTGTTCCCCAATCGCGGCGTTGGCTTCACAAAAGCCCGGTGTTTATTGCTGAGGGAAGGGAGAAACTCCCTTAGAGGTTATTTATTCTCCAAGAACCCGCCCAGAGCCAGGCAGAAGAGGTGACGTGAGGTGAGGTGAGGTGAGGTGCCTCAGGTGGCATCTGAGAAATGCTCCCTCACCGGTCTGGAGGTGCTGCTGTCCCCCACGTGCCCTCAGGGCAGAGCTCTGCACAGCTATGGCTGATGGTTGTTTCTGCATCCCCTGTGGCAGCAGCTCAGCCACGGAGCACAGCAGAGCTGTGAAAATCCTCACCGTGGGGCTGTGCTGCGTGAGGCTCCCAGCTGCCGCAAGCTGCGCACGCCTGGCCTGCACACAGATCCAGCTGGGCCCTCCTGAAGAGGACAAACACATTTCGGGGGTCTCTTTCCAAACCCTGTCAGAGCAACGTCGGTTTGTCAGTGAGGACACGCTCTGCTCTCTGGCAGATGTCTCTGAGGTGTCAGGCAAAGGAGTTCAGCGATGCCCTTGGCCTCCAGTGAGCTGCTCCCCCACTGAAAGAAACCCATTTCTGCTGCCCTGCGGTGCTGCTCCAGACAAAACAGAGCCCCCCGAGGGGGGAGAAGGGATGGCAGCAGCTGGCAGAGAGAGCCAGGGCTGCTCAGCCTGGGGAGGTGATGCCTGGAGGTGGAGGGAATGAACCTGACGGCACCAGGCTGTGCCCAGCATTGCCCACAGCTGGGCCGAGCCCACAACACAAGAAAGTAAATGTAAAACACATCACTGGCAGTGGAACACCAGCACTGCTGTTCCAGCCAGATGCTGGTCTCCACCTGAACACGCACTTCTTTCCAGCCTTTTATTTGCCTGTAAGCAGCAGTGCCTCTCTTGCCCTGAGCCCTGCCCTCTCTGTGACCATGCAGGCAAGCCCGAGCCGCTGGTGTTCCACATCCCACAGGCTTTCTTTGATGCACTGCAGCAGAGGATATCCAGTGGGAGTACAAAGAAGAGGTTGCCCAACTCCACTACAGGTAGGAAACACTGCAAGCACTCTGCATCCCACCTGAGGCAAGGAAAAGCCAGCAGGAAGCTGACACCCCCCCTTGTTTCTAGCAGCCTTAGGGGCAGAAGGCTCCGTTAAGCAGGAGCCACAGCCTGTGCTCCCAGAGGGGCTGTAACAGCTCCAGCCTCAGTGCAGCCTGGCTGCAGGCTCAGCACTCGGCCATTGGCAGCAGCTGTGTAACAGTTTGACTGGCGTTAGAGCTGGAAGAATGAAGGCAGCGGAGACTCAGAGCAAACAGCGCCTTCCCTGCAGCTTCTGCTCAGTTCTGCTGCTGCTTTTGAGCCACACGGACTGCAGAGCACTTGATCTGAAGTGTTTGTCTCCGCTGCTTTACACTTCACACTGATGTAAGACAATGCTTGAGCAGCCACGCAGAGCTCTCAGCACAATTACCTGAAGTTCCGACTTCAGGAGCACCACTGGGCCCCCAGCTGAGCATAAAGAGCCCGCAGACTCTGAGCACCCCCCCGAGTGCCAAGCCAGCTTTACCTCCTCGTGCTCTTAACTGAAAACAGGAGGAGAGTCCAGAGCACAGCGCAAAGCAGAGACTGAAGGCTCGCCTCCCAGCCAAGGCAAAGCGCCCTCCCTGCAGCCCAGAAGGAAAAAGAAGTGAGGAAAAGCAAGTTGCATCACCAGCCTCGCTCCTTCCCCCCACCTTTAACTGCGCTTTCCTTCCCCGCAGCGTTTGTCCGCAAAGACGCCCTTCCCCTGGGGACCTTCTCCAAATACACGTGGCACATCACCAACATCCTGCAGGTCAAGCAGATCTTCGATACCCCCGAGGTAAGGGGGAATCACACCCCCCCCCTGCTCTGCCTACCGTTACCGAGCCCTTCACCCCGCTGCTTCCCAGCAGCTGCCTCTGGAAATCACACGAAGCTTCATCCAGAACCGGGACGGCACCTATGAGCTCTTCAGGTGCCCCAAGGTGGAGGTGGAGAGCATCGCTGAGACGTACGGGCGCCTGGAGAAGCAGCCGGCCATCCGCCCGCTGGAGCTCAAGACCTTCCTCAAAGTGGGTAAGCGAAGGAGGGAATTCTCCTCTCGGCCCATCTGGGGGTTGATTCCTCCCCCTGCGCTGCCAGGGCAGCCCTTGAGATGTCTGCACAAATGTTGGAGGAAGATACGGGCTGGATGTGCACCTCCCTGCCTGGGGAGTGGGGCTCCACCAAGCAGCACCGCCACCACGGAGCCCCCCAGGCACTAAGGAATGCTTCCAGACCCCACCCAGGAGACAGACACCCTCTCCAGGAGGGGTTCTCTCCTTCACAGCCCCACACCAAGGGGTCCTGCCATAGCTGGGGGTCTCCCCCTCACACCCTCACGCAGGGGGAGCTGTTCCCATAAGGGGCTCTGCCCCAGACCTGCACCCAGAGCGGTGCCCCCCAGTAGGTGGCCCTCCCCCTCCACCACTCAACTACACAGGCACGGATGGAACCCACCCCCCCACCATCATCTCTGAGATGATTTCTGTCACCATCTCCACCCCCCTCCCACAAAAAGCAGCCGCAGAACGACGTTTTCCCAGTCCCCAGGTTCACCTTCACAACTCCAGGTGCCCGTTACGCACACCTACATGCCCCAGAAACACAACCCCTGCACCAGCAGCCCCAAGAACACCCCCCCCACCACCGAGGCAAAGCCCAGGGCCCCCCGCTCACTCTCTTCTCCCCCCCTCCCCTGTAGGAAACACCTCTCCCACCCAGAAGGAGCCCACGCCGTTCATCATTGAGTGGATCCCCAACATCCTACCTCACTCCCACATCGGAGAGCTGCGCATCAAGTTTGAGTACGGGCACCAGGGCGGCCGTCAGCCCCCCACCTCCTTCCCCACCCAACAGCCACCAGCACTGGAGCCCACCCTGGAACTGGCTCCACTCACCACCATCACCTTCCCCTGAGCTCCGGGGCTGCACTCCAGAACTGCCACCACGGCCAGGTCAGCCAGAAAGAGAGAAAGAAACCGAGCACAAAGCTGCTGCCGCACCTGGAAAAAATAAAAAGTGCTGCTCACCAGGTGCACGCTGCTCCTCTCTGCACCCAGGAAAGCAAGCTGGGAAGGGCAAGGGGGCTGCACCCCTGCTGCAGTGCACACTCGCAGCCAGGGAAGCCCCAGCTTCAGCCCAGAGCGAGGGGAGGGGGAAACCAGCACAGAGCAAGGACCTGGGGGGAGCAGAGAGCAGGGCTGGGGGTCTTGGCACCTCCGGGGGACAACTGCCAGCATTTACCTGAACTTCAGCCTCTCCTTGCTGGCATCCTGCAGCAGAACCCAGCTGCATCTTCCCCACGGATGGAGGAGGGCATTGCTGGCCTCGTTCCCTCCCTCAGGTTGATGCACCTGGACTTGGGGGGGGGGAGAGAGCAGCCCAGGACCCCAATTCCTGCAGGCAGGGGCTGCAGGCACGGCACCCCCAGCAGCGGCGCCCCGCCGCATCCCAGCCCTCCTCCCGACAGCAGCACACGGCCATTCGTACTGAAATAATTTATTTCCTAACAATCCAACAATACAGAAGTAGACACACACACGGCCAGCTCTGTCTAAAACACGTACTCTAAAAAAAAAACAAAACCAAACGCGTGTGCTAAAACTTGTAAGAAAAAAAACAAAACAAAAAGAAGCACCATTTCATGGTCTTGACACAGGATTCGCAGTGACGCGCTATGTACAACGGGAATTGAACGCCTGGAAAGGAAATCTTGCATCCTCCCATCTGCTGCTCCCCTTTCACTCCGTGTCTATCGCTCAGAAGATGCCAGAACTCAAAAGTGATGCTAAAAAGCCGAGGAGTCTTGGGGGAAAATGGGAAGGAAAAAGAGGGAAAAGGAATAAAACAAACGGGAAGGGCAATGAAAATGCATCAAAAGCCACTGAGGTGGGAAAGGCTCCTGAGGTGGGGATGGAGAAGCCTCTGCTGCTGGCTTTGTTCTGCCCCAGATCGAGGCCTGGGGGTGGGATGGGGTCCGGCGCCCAGGGCTGGGGGCTTCTCCATCCCCAAGCAGCGCGGTTCGGATTCGCACGTCTGTGTAAACGCAGGGGGTGCTCCTCGCTTCCCCCCTTTTTTCCAACAATCTACCCAAAAAAATCTCATTGCTGCAGCTTATCTCTGCGTAATGCTGGTGGATCCGTGAATTCGAGGAAAGGCTGGCGGCCCCAGGACGCTGCCCCAAGCTCTCAGCTGGAGTTTTGGGGGGAAAAGCCCGTGGTTTTAGGTTCGACCTTCGTGTGCCCATCCGACAGCATCGTTTGCCAAAGGTTTGAGTTTGTTGGGTTTTGTGGTTTGGTTTTGTTTTTTTTTTCGATGCTGGTGCGTTGGAGAGGAGCACGTCCAAACAGTGCAAAGGTCAGAGGAGGACTGCTTCAAACGGGGACGAAAAGGGGGAAAAAAACCAAATTGCCAACAAAAAAACCACAACCGAAACCAAAAGAACGCGGTCAACCCAAAAAGGCACGACACGAAAAAAACAACAGTGAGAGTCTAAACCTTAACACCGGGTAGAACGAAGTGGAGAACGAAGCGCACGTTTCCTGCTGTGTCCCCTTGGGGTGCAGTGGAGCGCCGGGGTTGGAATCGGGATTTTGGCAGTGCTCACAGGAAAGGGGCTGCAGAGGCTGGAGGCACCGCGGGTCAGAGCGGCGCAGCTCCACGTGCAGATACTCAGCTCTGCCCAGGGGTTTTTTGTCCTTCTTGGGGCTGTGGGCTTCCATGGGTTTTTGTCTTTGGGGGTGGTTTCCTTCACTTTTTGTCTCCGTGGGTTGGTTTCCATGGGTGTTTGTCTTCCTGAGGTGGTTTCCATGGATTTTTGCTTTCTTGGGGTGGGTTTCTGTGTTTTTTGTTTTCTTCAGCTGGGTTTCCACGAGTTTTCTTAGAATCACAGCACGGCTTGGGCTCAAAGGGACCTCAAGGACCATTAAGTCCCACCCCAGGGCTGCCCATGCTCAATCACACCGTAGATAAGGTTGCCCAACCATTCAACCTAGCATTAAATACCTCCAAAGTCTTCTTGAAGAGTCAGAATGGCTTCTGAGCCCCACATGGACGTTCCATCCCCATCACCAACGTCGAGCACGAGCGATGGAGCAGGAAAACCCCTCAAAGAAACCTCAGCATCTCCATCAGAGGGCTCTGCTTACAACGATCCCAGAACATCTCCTAAAGCACGAAGTCGTAACTCCGTTCACGTCGAAGGAAATGAAGAAATACTGTTTGCAGACCCCACGCTCTGCGTGCACGGGGTTGACTCGGCTTCTCGGCTTCGACGCGTCGACACGGCCGGAAACCACAGCCTTGGGACCAGGGGTAAAGGGTTGGCCTTTTCTTTTGGCGTCTGGTTGTGGCTCTCTCTGGTGGAAACCCAAATCCTCAGCATGGAGAGCTCCCAAACGCAACCCGAGGGCCGGGCAAGTGCTTCACACAGCGGCGCCGCTCGGAGCGCCGCCACTTATTGCTAAATCGCGCGCGATGGAGGCGATGGGACCAAGCAGCGCTTCTAGAAAACAATGAGGCATCTCGTTTGTTTGTTTGTTTTTGTGCTAAAGGGATGGAGATAATCTTTGTTCATCTCTCCGAGGTAGAAAAAAAATTGTCCCAGAGACAAGAAGCGCCAAGGCCGTCCTAAGACACGCGGCCGTAACGCGGGAGGGCACAGCGCGAGGACAGCACCATTTGGTTTTGAGGCATTCCAGGAACTTCCAGAGCTGGAGATGTCCATCCCGAGGCTGCCGGGAGGAGCAGAGCCTTTTGCTTTGCAGGAGGGGTCCATTGCTACCCTGAATTTTTAGAGTCGGTGGAGGGAAGGCCACCGACTGACGCTCCATTGCAGACCTCCCTCTGCTTTCTCCCTGCTCCAAGCTACCAACAAGGCTGGGTCTCATCCTCACAATGCATATTTGGGCCCTGGTGCTGATTGTTAGTGGGCAAACACTACAAAGATCCGGAATAGCGAGCGCTAACAGCAAGGCAAAGGACAGCTGAGCTCACCCAGCACTGCTGTTAGCGCTGCGATATTCCCGGGCGCACCAAAATGGGGCTGGAATGTTTGGTTTCGCTGAGATGAGCTTCCCGACGGGGCGAGAAGCGAGTGGGCACGATGGGCTGCCAGGGAGAAGCTCAGCACCCACAGCCCTGCGTGGGACTGGGGCAAAGCAGACTTCGTGTCAGCGGCACAAGGGAACGGCGGGACGGTCTGGTTCGCTACCAACCAGGAAAGAGTGGCGGGTGGAAGAGCTGCGGGGTCTGATCCTTAGAGAGCGGGGCACAGCTTGTGAGCACTCTGCACCTTGGCCCTCCGCACGCCCGAGCTGGCGTAGCCCTCGTCGCTGCACACGCTCTGCAGGCTGCCGCGCTCATCCGAGTCGCTGGGGCTGCTGCTGCTCCAGTCGAGGTCTGCGGGCAGGGAGTCGGTGCTCTCCACGTCCACGTCGATCTCTTCTGCAAGCAGAAAGCAAACAGCATCACCAGGAGCTCAGCGGCGCCTCCAAGCACTGCGCACAGGCGTGCAGGTCTTACCTCTGTCTGAGTCGGAGCGCTCCGAGGACACGGCGGAGCCGACGCTGTCGGTGCGGATCCTCTCACTGCCCAACTTCTCCAGCTGCCTCTTCAGGTGCCGCTGCTCGCGCTGCAGCTGCTCGATCTGGTGGAGGGCTTTCCTGTCGTAGTCCTCGAGCTTCTGCGGAGGGGGAGAAACGGGTTGGAAGAGACTTCAAAGGTCACAGAATCGTGGAATCACGGCATGGTTGGGGTGGAAGGGACCTTAAAGATGAGAGAATTGTGGAATCACGGCATGGTTGGGGTGGAAGGGATCTTAAAGATGAGAGAATTGTGGAATCACAGCATGGTTGGGGTGGAAGGGACCTTAAAGATGAGAGAATTGTGGAATCACGGCATGGTTGGGGTGGAAGGGACCTTAAAGATCAGAGAATTGTGGAATCACGGCATGGTTGGGGTGGAAGGGATCTTAAAGATGAGAGAATTGTGGAATCACGGCATGGTTGGGGTGGAAGGGATCTTAAAGATGAGAGAATTGTGGAATCACAGCATGGTTGGGGTGGAAGGGATCTTAAAGATCAGAGAATTGTGGAATCACGGCATGGTTGGGGTGGAAGGGACCTTAAAGATCAGAGAATTGTGGAATCACGGCATGGTTGGGGTGGAAGGGATCTTAAAGATGAGAGAATTGTGGAATCACGGCATGGTTGGGGTGGAAGGGACCTTAAAGATGAGAGAATTGTGGAATCACGGCATGGTTGGGGTGGAAGGGACCTTAAAGATGAGAGAATCGTGGAATCACAGCATGGTTGGGGTGGAAGGGACCTTAAAGATGAGAGAATCGTGGAATCACAGCATGGTTGGGGTGGAAGGGACCTTAAAGATGAGAGAATTGTGGAATCACAGCATGGTTGGGTTTGAGGGATTCCTAAAGGTCACAGAACTATAGAATTATAGAATGCTTGGGTTGGAAGGGTTCTTAAAGGTCACAGAACCATAAAATTATAAAGTGGTTGAGTTGGAAGCGTTCTTGAATCATGGAATCACAGCAGGGTTGGGTTGTAAGGGTCCTTAAAGGTCACAGAACCATGGAACCATAGAATGGTTGGATTGGAAGGGACCTTAAAGATCAGAGTCATGGCCTCACACCACGGCTGGCTGGAAGGGACTTCCAAGCCCCTCTAGCCCCAACCCATGCCATGGGCTGCCTGCCGCCCACCAGATCAGGCTGCCCAAGTCTCCCAGTCCCTTTCAGAGCCAGACTGCTGCTGATGCAACGCCATGGCAGACAGCTGGCACGCCAACAATGCTCCCTCCTCTGAACAGTTCCTGTGCAGTGCTTTTTTCTATTTCTTTTTTCTATTTCCAGGCTTTGATAAGGCACTGGTGTCCCACCATGCTGCCCATGGTTCTCTGCTGCTTCATAAAACCAAACGTGCTTGGTGAGAGTCACAGTGTAAAGAGCAAACCGTAAAGCAGCCGACGCACCAGGAGGCCACACGGTGCCTGTCAAGTAGGAGCAATGCTGAGGGCTTTGGGGATGCTCTGCACGAGCAGCTTTCTCCAAGCCCTCTGCTCTCCAGGGACTTTTGGCGCCACCAGACTCACCTTGATGTGCAATTTGGCTTTCATGAGTAAACTCAGCGTCGTGTGCTTGCTGGATTCAGGGCCGAGAGGCACCAGCACCTTCAGCTTCTCCAGACACAGCCGCAGGTGGGCACGCCTGGAAGAAAACCATGGGAGCTCTCAGCATTACCCCAACATCACACGGCATCTTCGCCTCCGCATCCGTGGAGGGACAGCAAAATAAAACTGCTCCTGCTACATCCAGCACGGGGCTGCAAAGCCAGCGCGCCCCTCGAGCTTCTGTTGGGACAGAATCCAACAACTGGCAGCGCTCCACGCTCCCACCTGCACGGATGGCAGCGCAGGACGCCCCGTGCTCAGCTCCCCAGCCCCAATATTCCGGTTCTCTTCCCCATTGCAACACCGCCTGTGCCGTACCCCACTGACACACTCGAGGCAGATGGGGATGTTGCAACGACCTGCCTATCTCGTTCCGCACGCAAATAAACAGGCATTTGCCTGCACTGAGTGCCTCCTGCGTGACAGCGCCAACAAAACACGCGCTCGTGCTGCTGGGGTCAAACCCAACCAAAGCTGAGCCCTCACAGACGTTGTTTTACATCAGCTGGGGCTCCGTCCACACGTGGGAGGTGAGCAGCCAGCCCTGCACGCACTGGGGATGAGAAGCCACCACAAAGGTGGTGTCCCCAGAGAGGGACAGCTGCTCACACCCAGCTTGGTGCCCACACAGGGGAATGAGGAACCACTCGGATGCACCCCAGCAGCTCACCGGGGGGAGACGAGTGATTTAAACCTGCCCCTGGAGCGTGAAACAGCCACAGGCCAATTCCAGCTGCCTGCCCCAGGTGGGCTGAGCATGCAGAGCTGCAGCACACACACACAGAGCAGCGCCGGGGGCGCAGCACGGCTCCTGGAATAGGTGTGGGGCAGCCCTGATGCGCAACGGAAAAGAGATTCCACGTGCATCCCAGCCCATTCTCACCTGTTCTTTTCCATCTCATTGTGCGTTGACCTGAAATAGAAAGAGCACTTTGTGAAATCACAGAATCACAGAATCACAGAATCACCCGGGTTGGAAGGGACCTCAAGGATCATGTAGTTCCAACCCCCCTGCCCAGCAGGGCCACCAAACACACACATTCAGATCAGGTTGCCCAGGACCCCGTCCAACCTGGCCTTGAACACGTCCAAGGACGGGGCATCCACAACCTCCCTGGGCAGCCCGTTCCAGGGCCTAACCACTCTCCTTGTGAAGAACTTCCCCCTAACATCCAACCGAAATCTTCCCTCCTTCAACTTGGATCCATTTCCCCTAGTCCTGCTATTGTCAGCCCTTCTGAAGAGTTTACTCCCCTCCTGGCTGTAGGTTCCCTTCAGGTATTGATAGGCTGCAATGAGGTCACCCCGCAGCCTTCTCTTCTCCAGGCTGAACAAGCCCAACTCCCTCAGCCTGTCCTCATAGGGGAGGTGCTCCAGCCCCCTGCTCATCTCAGTCGCCCTCCTCTGGACCCTTTCCAACATCTCTATGTCTTTCTTGTACTGAGGGCTCCACACCTGGACACAGTACTCCAGATGGGGCCTCACAAGAGCCGAGTAGAGAGGGACAATCACCCCCCTCTCCCTGCTGACCACCCCTCTCCTGATGGAGCCCAGGATCCCATTTGCCTTTCGAAATGCTTGTCTCCAGGAGGGTGGCAGACAGCAGGGGTCCCTGCAGAGGGGTCACCGCACCCAGGATGATAAATATGGTGGCAGAGAGGCGGGCAGGGAGAGGTGCCCAGCGAGATGGCAGCGCCAGGGACTGGAAACCCAACTGAGGTGGTTTGGATGGGAAGGGGCTCGCTGCTGGAAAGGGGAGCAGCAGCACAAGGGGAGCACAAAGCAACGCCAACAGCACAGGCAGTGGCACCCAACACACACACACACACTCCCTGGATGAGTGGTTGTAAGGGAGAGGAGGAAGCAAAGGGGCCCAACCGCCGCTCAGCAGCACCGCGCAGGAAGGGGAAGCTCTCATCCTAACGCCAAGCCCACGCACAGCTCCACTGTGTCTCCGAGGTACGTGAGCAGCTCCGAAGCACAAGTCCTGCTGCTGCCATTGTGAGCAACGCTTAGTGAGGAATGAAGCCCCACGTCTTCCCAGAAAGGGACCTCGGAGCGCTCACTGACTGCGGTCAGCATGGGGACATCCTGCTGTCGCAGCTGGCGAAGGTCACCCGTCCCCCACGCCGGAGCAGGACGCAGTGCCATGCCCCTGAGATGGCAGAGCTGCTCCTCCCTGAGCAAACAGCAGGAAGGAGCTGGGAGGAGTGGCAGCGATTTGCCACGAGTGACATTTCAGGGCAAGAGCGCTCCTCCCCAAACAAAGGATCTGAATCTCATCCGCCACTTTGAGAGCCCTCAAACGGAACCCGGGCGCCGAGCACCAGGCCAAGGGAACATCCCCAAAACAAAGCCCCAAATCGGCATCCTGCTCTGCCACGTCGTCTGATGGCACCTTCAGTCCCCAACAGAGGACGTCCCCAGGGTGCCCACCCCCTGCCCGGGGTGTGGAGGGGTCGCAGGGGGTGCAGAGCCACCACGCAGCTCTGTGGGGTGCCGGTGGTGACAGCAGTGCCCTCATGGGTGCCCACAGTGCCCTCATGGGTGCCCACAGTTCTACCAGACACCCCACAGTGGGGCAGCCCAGCAAACCACGATCCCTCAAAGCCAGCTGTGTCTCCTCCAGTTGTCCCCCCCCCCGCCCCACCTGTGATCACCAGGTGACAGCAGCACCTCCCGTGTCCCCAAGGGTCCCCACCACAGCCCCGAACCCCACTGTGTGCTCTGTGACGTGGAATCCCAATAGACTCTGAGCATCCAATGACAGCAGCGTCTCCAGGTTCAGGGACAGGTGCCAATCATCCCCAGAGCTGCCAGACCCCCAGGACAGGGACACCAACAGACCCTGACCCCGATCTCTGGGTGTCCCCCCATGCGCCCAGATCAGCCTGGAGCCTTCTGTTGAATTGACGGGTGCTACCAGCATCCCCAGTGCCCCCAGTGCTGCCAGACCCCCAGCAATAGGGATCCCAATAGACCTCGGTGACAGCAGAGCCCTCCACATCCCCCACCCCACCTGGCACCCCATGACAGCTCCTGACCCCCAGCTGACAGCGGTGACCCCAGAGCCCCCAAAGGTCCCTCCCAATGGCCCCCAGTCTCCTCAGCCCCACTATGACCACAGGATCCCAACAAATCATGGTCTCTGGGTGCAAGCAGGTCCCCCCCAAATCAGCCTGGAGCCTTCTGTTAGGCCCTGACCACCAGGTTCCAGCAGCATCCCCAGTGCCCCCAGTGCAGCCAGACCCCCTGCAACAGACCCCAGTGACAACAGAGCCCTCCACATCCCCCACCCCACCTGGCACCCTATGACAGCTGCTGACCCCCAGCTGACTGCACTGTCCCCAGAGCTTCCACAGGTCCCCCAAAAGCCCCCAGCCCTCCCAGCCCCCCATAGCAGTGGGATTCCAACAAGCCCCAGCAGATCCCAATCTCTGGATGCAAGCACAGCCCTCCACATCCCCAGATCAGCCCAGTGCCCCATGACAGCTGCTGACTCCCAGCTGACAGCAGGGTCCCTATGGGTTCCTACGAGTCCCTGTGGGTCCCTATGAGTTCTTATGAGTCCCTGTGGGTTCCTATGTGTCCCTATGGGTTTCTATAAGTCCTGATGCATCCTATGAGTTCCTATGGAGTTCCTATGGGTTCCTACAGGTTCCTACGGGTACCTATGGGTCCTGATGAAACCATATGAGTTTCTATGGGGTTCCTATGGGTCCCTATGGGTTCCTATGGGTCCCTATGAGGTTCCTATGGGGTCCTATGGGTACCTATGGGTCCCGATACATCCCTATGGGTCCCTATGGGTTCCTATGGGTCCCTATGAGGTTCCTAAAGGTCCCTATGGGATCCTATGGGTCCTCCCTCCTCCCTCCCGGTACCTGCCGCCCCCGCCGTTCCTCCGGCCCTTCCCGCGGCGCCTCGGGCTCTCCCTGCGGGCTCGTCCAGCTCCGGGCAGCAGCGAAGCGTAGCCGTGTTCGGCTTCTGTGGGGACACAACGGGAACGGGCAGCGCCGGGAGGAACCGGGAGGTCCCAAAAGGGGCACAGCGGGATGCCGGTACCTCGTTCCCGCCGCTCCAGGTATTCGGCCGCCTCCAGGAGCAGCCCGATGCTGGACCCGACTCCGGACCCGTCGTCACCGACCGCCGCCATCGCCGCGCTGCGGGGCCGGGCCGGGCCGCTCCGGGGTGAGCGCCTCGCCCGGCCGCTCCGTCAGCCCCACCCACCGTCGCCTCTCATTGGGTGCCGCCCCCCGTCGGTTTTCGCGATTGGACAGCTGGCAGACACGCCCTTCCGCGATTGGTTCGGCCCCGAGGAAAGCCCCGCCCCCATCCGCCGTCGACGATCAGACGGGCCCTCTGGGTGGACTCTCTGTGATTGGGTGAGCCGGAAGGCTCCGCCCACGGGGCTGACTCACTTCCTGCCTCCTGCAGCCAATGGGAGGGCGAGGAGCGAACGATGGGGCGTGGCTCCGGCGCCGGGTGTCAACGTGGGGCTGATGGGGAGCGGGCGGGGACCCCCCGACCCCGCCAGGTTTAGGGACCCCCGCAGGGCTGGAGACCCCGTAAGGAGCAGGAGCCTCCCGGCGCTCTTCCCTACGGGCAGATCTCCCTTAAAAAGCTACGAGCCTCCCCGAGCTGGGACCCCCAAGCACAGGAGCAGGAACCTCCTTGAGACCCCCCCCCAAAAAAAATACAGCGCCCGAGGCCACAAGGGAGGACGTTCCTCCCCTGCTCCAATAAGCAGAGACCCCTGGAGCCCCCCTGAGAAGCAGAAAGTCCCTATAAGTAGCCCCCTCCATCACCAGCAGGGGCCCCTTGAGCACCCAAAGCTGCTGCCCCTTCATCCCAGAGCACCCCAGCAGCAGGGAACCACCCCCCAAGCAGCGCTTTTGCCCCAATGGGGTGAATTTGGGGGTGAGGGGGGGTGAGGGGGGCAGCTCAGCATCATTTCCTCCCCACACCCCGAAACCCAACCCTGCCCTGCGGTGACTCAGCCACCTCGGCCACAGCATGGAAACCAGATAAACCTGGGTGTGTGGGTATGGGGGGGGGGGGGGGGTCAAAAGGGGGGCACAGCGCCCCAACCTCACCCATGGAAAAAAATACCTTCAACAGCAAAACGCCGGCATGGTGAAAATAGGAAATAGGGGAAAATAGGGTGGGATTGGGGGTGAGGGTGGGATTGGGGGTGAGCTGCTCCCAGCTGGCTGCGAGCTTCCTGAAAGCAGCCTATGTGAGACCAAAAAAAAATGAGGGGGGAGGGAGGGGGGTTTCATCTCATTTTTGGACCTGCAGCCAGTTTTAATTAGAAGGGAGAGAAAGCCAACGAAGTGATGGGGGTTGGGAATCCCTGTCTGGCAGCAGGGCCTTATCGTGGGGCGCCAGGCGTGCCGCAGGGATGACCTGGCACCACTGAGGCAGCGTCACACTGACAGCAGGGCTGTGTCACCGTCACCCAGCACAGACACAGGGCTGGCCAATTGGGGACGAGGCTCGGTTTTGGCAAGCCGAACCTTCAAAAAAAGTAGGAAGAAAAAAAAAAAAAACCCACAGAACCGTCATTGCAAAAGGCTCAGCTCCAGGCTTGGATCTGTGCGTCGTGTTCTGAAAGCATCCGTGTAACGTTTATCTGCTGCCGGAGCCGGGAACGAAAGCGCTTTTGGCCGCAGGGCCGTGCTGCCACCTCCTGGGGCTGCGTGAAATCCTCACCCAGCAGCGCACGGAGCAGAGCCGAGCACAGGGAATCCCGGCCCGAGCGGAGGTGATCCAATGAACACACAAAGGAAAAGCAAAAACTGAGGTTGCTGGGCTCAAATCCCAAATGCTGAGCTGGGGAAACAGCTGCTGGGTGGCTTCCAGCAGCCTCTTCTCGCTGACTTTATTCCTGAGTGAGGTAATCACAGACAGACAGGGGGAGTGGAGGGAGAAACAAAATGGAAAAATATATACAGGTTTTAATTAGACAACATTGAGCTACTGAAAAACAACAACGCAACAGGAAAAATACAACCAGCAGGAAATCCTGGCAAGGGACGAACGGAGCTGGGTGATCAACGAGCTTCACCTCGCCCTCCCTTGGTGCAGGGCAGAGCGACTGCACCCGGACCTGCTCTAAATCACCCCAAATTCACTTTAAAGATGGAGTTCTCTCCCATCTCTGAGCCAGCAGCACGTGAGGAAGGCAGCGATGCTCCCCACTCCCTGCAGCATCAAGCAATGAAATCCAACGGTCTGTTGAATCCTCCTTTTCTGTTCATGTACTGCCTGCGGGGACAGGAAAAGGAACGGATCAGCGCCTCGCTGTGCCCACACACAGCAGCCTGGCCACTCAGTTTCCTCTGAAATGCCTTCCGTCCCCAACAGCGCTGTTTTATCACAGGAAAGCAAGTGAGTTCTGTGCAACCTCCACAGCACAAACCTGTATTTCCTCTTCTGGGACACGTTGATGGCGTATGCGTTTGCAGCACCGTCCACTTTCTTGCCCTGAAAGAGGAGAAAAATCGGTCCAGAGTTGTGTGCAGCACCAAGAACTGCCTGCATCCGTGGAGACACCAAGCAGAGCAAAGAACTCAGCAGTGCCACAGCTCTGGGCCATGAATCACAGGGTGCCCTGGGTTGCAAAGGACCGCAATGCTCATCCAGTTCCAACCCCCTGCTGTGTGCAGGTCGCCAAGCAGCAGCCCAGAGCCGCATCCAGCCTGGCCTCGAATGCCTGCAGGGCTGAGGCATCCACAGCCTCTTTGTGTCCCAGTGCCTCACCGCCCTCTGTGTGAAGGAGAACCCCCACCCCGAATGGGTGCACTGGAAGCAGAGGAGTAAATTTTGGGGGTATAACCAACCCTGCTGGACCACTTGGGCAAAGAGGCGTCCAAGCACTGCCTGTCACAGCCCTGCAGGGTAAGGAAAGCCAGCCTCGACCCCAGCACGCTCACTTTTGTTGTGTCAAAAGAGGCAAAGCCCATCATCTTCATCATCTCAATTTCCTCTTCCGTCTTGCCTTGCAAATCTTCCTCTGAAAAGGCAACGAAACAGAAGGGTTCACCTCACACAACCGCCGGCGGTCACTTAAAAAGCACTTTAATAAGTCCCACGGAGCCCTCCGTGCTGGTCGCACCAAGAACTCCAGCACGAATTAACATGAGAAAAGCGCCGGGGCGGAGCCTCACCCGTGATCTGCCGCTCTTTGCCTTTGGTGTCTTTGCTCTCCTTCTTCTCCTCATCTCGTCTCTCCTTCAGCCGCAGAGGGGAGGAGGAGCTGGAGCGGTGCCTCCGGGGGGACCTGGCAACGGCCGGCACGCACGGTTCAGCCTCGCGGGAACCGCAGCACTGCGGGCCGGCTGCTAAGGGGGGCGGCGGGAGGTCCTGCCGGCACCGAGAGCCTCACCTGGATCGCCGCCGGTGCGGGGAGCGGGAGCGGGTCCTCCTCCTGTCCCTGTCCCGGGATCGCGTCCGTTCCCTTCGCCTCCTCTCCCGATCCCGCGAAGCAGATCGCGAGCGTCGGCGGTCTGCGGGAAGTGGGGCGGGAGAGGAGCAGAGATTGCGGTGAGCGGCGGAGAGGGAAGGGGGGAGGGAGAAGCGGGGATGGTGGGAAGGGGGGAGAGGAGAGAGGAAGGGGAAGGAAAAGGAAAAGTAGGGAGCAGGGCGCCGCTGCCCCCTCATTTTCATCCCTCCGGGAAGGCCTCGGGCACATCCCCGGGCCCCGCTGTCCCGCAGCCCTCCCGGGATCCCCTTCCCCTGTTCCTGGCCGCCCTCAGGCCCCCAACCCCGGATCCAGACTCCCGTCCCGCTCTCCCGTCCCGCTCCGCTCCCTCCCGTTTCCTCACCGCGCCGCGGCGGCGAGCGGGACCGGCTGCGTCCCATGGCACCGCCCCTCCGCCCCACTTCCGCCCGCAGCCCCCCCCACTTCCGGCGCTCCGCTCCGTTTTCTCCACGTTCCGTCCAGAAACAGCGCCGCAGCGCTTTGGTTCCACCACCAAAACGTTCCGGGAGGGGGGAAGCCGCGCAGTGCCCCGCTTCGGGCAGCCCCTCTCGGCCTCCAGAAGCGAGGAGGCCCGGGGCTGGGCCCGCTGCGAGGCTGGGGTCCGCCAGCACCATCACACGGAGCCATACCCCCAACCCCATCCCACCCCACCGCATCCCTCCATGGACTCTGAGCGCACGGAGGCTGAACGCGGGGTTTATTTATGTACAGGCAGGCGTTACACAGCGCTTCCAGCACCGACCTGCAGCCCAACCCCACGGCCACCAACCGCCACGGGGCCTTCAGGCATCCTTCAGTGCTGCGATGGTGCCCCAAAGCCTTTTCTTTGCCTCATCCTCTGCTCCCAGCCCTGCGCTTTGGCTGGGATGACTCCATTCCAGCCACAGCCCTGGAAATGGGAGCCAAAAACCCACCGTGGGGTGGTTGGGGTTCAGGGGTGCTGAGGGCCACGGTGGGGCCCAGGAGAGGAGAAAAAGCAGCAAGGGAAAATGAGAGGAGAGCTGTAGGTGAACCCTGGGAAGAAAGGCTGAGGGCAGCCGAAGGGAAACCTCACTGTAGCTCTCCAGCGCTTAAAGGCTGCTCATCAGCAGGACTTCCTGATGGCAGCAGGGCAAGGGGGAATGGCTTCGAGCTAGAAGATGGGAGATTGAGATCAGATTTAAGCAGCAGGAGATTCTTTACTCAGAAGGCAGTGAGGCAATGCTGCCCAGAGCTGGAAGTGCCCCATCCTGGAGACGGACAGGCTGAGGGCAAGGTGTGGAACCGGGCAGCCTGCAAGGTCCCCTCCAACTTCATCCAGGCTGCAGCCTCTAGCAGAATGCCAGCGAGGACACGGGGGCACAGCAAAGACTCTCAGGCTGCAAAACCTCAGTGCTGGGGGAGGACATTCCTGCTGGGGTTGTGGTTTTGCAATTTATTTTTACTCTCCCCTTTAGAAGTCCTTGGCCCACCCCAAACTGCAGCCCCGTAAAGAAAACCAACCCCATCTTACGCATTTCCTCCTCTCCATCTCCTGCCTGCAGCAGCCCTGCATTCGACCTTAAATGACTCCCACACCCCAAAAAAAGCCACCAGACTTTTCCAGGCTTCAGAGCTGCTTTTTCTTCTTCCCTTTGGGTTGCATGGCTGGGCATGGGGAGGTGAGGCTGGGGGAAGGATGGGGAGGATCTGTGCGTGTGCTCAGGAGTCCAGAGCTGGGCTGAGCAGCGGTTCGGCCTCGGGGCTCTCGTGCTCTTTACGTGGACAGGCACTCATCGACGCGGTGTGGGGGGACCAGGGCAGTGCCTCCTACTGAAGTGAATTGGCAGCGTGTGTTCATCCCAAAGTAGCACTTGGTGAGTGAAGTTTGCTCAGTTTTACGTGACTCCGCCCCGAGGCTCCTCGTCTTCTGTGTTCTCAGGTGCGGTGCAGAAACCCTGCTGCTCTCCACCAAGCAGCAAACGTGTGAGTGTGGCACCAGGAGAAGGGGACCGAGGTGGCTCACAGCCTTGGGGTAAGATTGCGATCCGAGAAGGAAAGAGTCCCAGGTGCTCTCCTTCGGGGAGAGCAATCCTCCGGTGTTGGGCTCCATCCCATCACCCTGGCAAAGAGATGCCAGGGGCAAAGCCAGCGCCGTTCCAGCAGAGCGTGAAACAAAACGTTTTGGGTCAAAGGCCCAAAACCAGCGACGACAGCACACCCGTTTCTTTCTCAAAACCAAGCGCATCCGGGCTGTGCCTCCGCGTTGCACGAGGGCTCTGCAAGCAGCGGGTGGGATAAACAAACCTCAGAGCCCACGGGGGAGCCTGGGAGAGACGGGGGAGCGCTGGTGGGAGCGGGGACGTGGCGGTGGGTATTTCCCCAAGCAGCAGACAGGGGCCAAAATCTCTCGGTAAGCTCAGCGGCCACCTCCGAAGCGGGTGACGGGGGGGACTTGGTGCCTCGTGCCGGGGGCTCCCGGATTGTTCACCTCCAGGGTTTTTGGCTGCGCCACGGCCAGACGCACGGCGCAGACGCATCCGTCTGGAAAGACGCTCGGCCAAAGCCACGGGGGGAGGGGGGAGAGGCTCAAGATTCGATCTTTTCCTTCTTTTTGCCCTTTTTCAGGAAGGACGGGGTCCGGAATTTCTTCTTCTTCTTGGAGGGTGATTTGGAGGGTGAGCCTTCGGGGGAGACGGGGGTGCTGGTCACCGTCTCGCTCTTCTCCTTGGGGGCATCCTGCTCTGGGTTGGCCGGGGTGCTCGTCTGGTCCCCCCCTTTGCTCTCCTCCGTGCTCTGCTCCTCATCCTTCCCATTGACCACCGCAGGCGGCTCCTTCTCGGCGGAGGAATCGGCCGGAGCTTGGCCATCCTCCACCTTCTTGTCACCTTGACAAAGGGAGAGGGAGAGGTGAGCGCCGCGGGGCCGCCAGCCGCCATCGCCCCCCCCGTGTCACCCCGGGCAGGAGCAGGATCCAACCCTGAAAGCGCAGCACAGCGCGCCGGGACCCGACGCACCGCTTCCCTGAGCCTTTCCCCTCCCCACAGGATGGAACATGGGGCAGAGCCCCACATCCCGGCCTCAGCGATGGAACAAAGCGGGCAACACCAGCGAGGCAACCCAAGGCACGTCCTGCTGCAGGCGCTGCGCGGGCTGCTGGAGCCCGGCCCCTCCGTACTTACTACAGTGATAAGCATTCAGAGTCAGGGGGAACTCCTGGGGTGAAAGCGACACATGGAGGAAAGAGAAAGGAAGACGTTGTGGAGACAGACAGACAGACGGACACCATGAGACACGATGAGACAGCCAGCAGCACCCACCGTCGCCCCCCCCCCCCCGTGCCCCGGCCCGTGCAGGTTGCATACGACAAGTGCACGCGATGGGCAGCACCGCCGGGAGCCCCCCTGGTGGGTGCCAAAATCCTGCATGGACCTTAAAGGGAGGCGGCAGGTATGGGGCTACTGTGCGTCCCCACTGCTGTGGGGCAGCACGGAGGCACTGCTGACGTTTACCCACGTTTTCCACAGGGGTTTTGCTCTTCAGCCCTCTCCGCCCACACCCCACTCACCCTCCTGACCCTCTGGGGCTGCGCTTTTGTTGGGGGATTTTGGGGACCCCGGTGGTGATTCTGGGGGGGATGCCTGGGTCTCCTCTTCCTCCTTGTCTCCTGCAGACAGACAGATGGCTACAGACCCCATAATGGGGCTCTGGGATGCACACGGTCCCCCCAGCTCGTACCGTGCAGCCCCAGCTTCTTCCTTTCCACCTCCCGCTTGTACTCCTCCAGCTCCTGGTCCGTGAGCTGGCTGAAGGGGTTCGGGGGCTCCGGCTCAGCTGGGACCTCCTCTTGGGATGGGTTTTTGGTCTCGGCATCCCCCAAATGGCTTTCTGTGGACTGAACCCCCCCCCAAATAGCAGCGTCACCCCCTGGCACGAGGAGGAACAGGGACATGGGGACACGGGGGACGTACGGGGCTGCGGCTCGTCTCGGCGATCACACTGGCCAGCAGCTGGGACTGCGGCCCTGCAGACTTGACGTCCTGGCGGTTCTGCTCACGGATCTACAAGAGAGATGCAGAGAGAGGATGGGAAAACGTGGACCCGTCGTCCTCGGGACCCTTGGGACCCCGCATCCAGGGTCACCCGGATGGCAACGCACCTTGTTCCTCATCTCCAGCACCTCCTGAGGGTCGGTGTAGAGGGGCACAAACTGGTTGGGGTTCTCGATGCGGATGGCAGTGCCACTGCTGCCCTTCTCCGCCTCGTCAGCCTTCAGCCACTGCCGGAGAGGAAGGGGGAAACACCCAGAGATGCAGGGCATGGAGAGCAAAGCCAGGTGAATTCATGGCATGGCGAGAGGAAAGCCCAATAATTGCACGTAATCAAGAGCGAGCCCCAACGAATGCACGGATGGTATTGAGAAAAGAAACCCAGATCAATGCACAGCACTGAAAGAGGGAAACACAGTACATGGCATGGAGGATGCAAGCCCAATAAATGCATGTCGTCAAGAGGAAACCTTAATAAATGCGTGGCTTTGAGTGGCAACCCCAATGAACACATGGCATTGAGAGAGGAAACCCTAATAAATGCATGGCATTGAGAGCAAGCCCTGATGAAAGAACGGTTTTGAGCAGTAACTGCAATAAGTACGTGGCATTAAGAGAGGAAACCTCAATAGCTGTGTGTCATGGAGAGCAAACCCCAATCAATGCATGGCATGGAGAGACAGAGCTTGATAGAGGAGAGCAAACCCCAATAAATACATGGCACGGGAAGAGCAAACCCTGACCAATGCATGGCGTGGCAAGAGGAAATAAATGCACACCACCAGGAGATGAAAGCTGATGAATAAATGCATCCTGCAGAGAGAAGAGACTGGGCCAAACGTGGTGCAGGGAAAGGAAACCCCAACAAAGCACTGGGTGCTGGCAGTGGGCTTTTAGAATAGAAGGTGCTCTGGGGCAAATGAAGGCAGACACAGGGCAAATAAAGGCAGACACGGGGCAAATAAAGGCAGACACGGGGCAAATAAAGGCAGACACGGGGCAAATAAAGGCAGGCACGGGGCAAATGAAGGCAGACACGGGGCAAATGAAGGCAGGCACGGGGCAAATAAAGGCAGACACGGGGCAAATAAAGGCAGACACGGGGCAAATAAAGGCAGACACGGGGCAAATAAAGGCAGGCACGGGGCAAATGAAGGCAGGCACGGGGCAAATGAAGGCAGGCACGGGGCAAATAAAGGCAGACACGGGGCAAATAAAGGCAGACACGGGGCAAATAAAGGCAGACACGGGGCAAATGAAGGCAGACACGGGGCAAATAAAGGCAGACACGGGGCAAATAAAGGCAGACACGGGGCAAATAAAGGCAGGCACGGGGCAAATGAAGGCAGGCACGGGGCAAATGAAGGCAGGCACGGGGCAAATAAAGGCAGGCACGGGGCAAATAAAGGCAGACATGGGGCAAATAAAGGCAGACATGGGGCAAATAAAGGCAGGCACGGGGCAAATGAAGGCAGGCACGGGGCAAATAAAGGCAGGCACGGGGCAAATAAAGGCAGACACGGGGCAAATAAAGGCAGACATGCTCAGTGTGCCTGAAGTGGGCACACCAAGCATTTCTCACTACTGGAGAACCCCTGTGCTCTCTCTGCTCACCCATTTTTGGTGGACCCAGCGCTCCAAGCATCCCCTACCTCCCTTTTATCGACAAGCCCCCCCAGGAGCGATCAGCCGCAGCCAAAACCCCAAAGAACCCGACAGCCCCATACGGTCGTCTTGGTCTTCTGGCCTCCCTGCTGCTCCTCGGCCACGCTGACCCGCAGGTACGTGTTGGGTGTGTTGAGCCACCGCGTCTTCTCCTTCTGCTGCTTCTGTGCGTGCTGCCGCAGCGCAGGCGTGGGCATCGCCTCCTCCTCGAAGACGAAGGCCGTCACGGTGGCAGGGATGAGCACATCGCTTTTGGGTTTGCTTTTCTCTTGCACGAAGGGGTAGCGGTAGGTGTAACCGGTGCGGTAACCCTGCAGAGCGAAGCGCCATCGGGTCCTGTGAGTTATTTTCTCAGGGTGGTTTATAGAATCATAGAATCATAGAATCACCAAGGTTGGAAAAGACCTAAAAGATCACCCAGTCCAACCGTTCACCTATTCCCAACAGCTCCCACTAAACCATGTCCCTCAACACAACATCCAGCCTTTCCTTGAACACCCCCAGGCTCTGTGACTCCACCACCTCCCTGGGCATCCATTCCAGTGCCTGACCACCCTTACTGAAAAGTAATTCTTCCTCATGTCCAGCCTGAATCTCCCCTGCCGTAGCTTGAAGCCATTCCCCCTGGTCCTATCACTAATGACACGAGAGCAGAGGCCGACCCCCAGCTCACTACAGCCTCCCTTCAGGAAGTTACAGAGAGCAATGAGGTCTCCCCTGAGCCTCCTCTTCTCCAGGCTGAACATTCCCAGCTCCTTCAGCCTCTCCTCATATGGCCTCATATGGTTTGAAAAGGGATGCAGGGACGCCGCGCGCTCGCTTGCAGCCGCTCACCAGGTTGTCCAGCATCCTCATCAGGGCTTCAAATTCGTGCTCGCCCAACCGGCTCTTCTGCATGGGGCCGAAGGTGCTGCCAGCCCAGCGCACGGAGCCCACCTCGTGGGGACGGTGCTTGGCACGCTCCAGCACGATGAGGTTCTCTGCACCGCCTGCACTCGCCAGCGCCGACACCTGCAGCGTTGCATCGGTGGCTGAGACTTTGCACAGCGCTGTGCACGGTGCAGGGGGCATTGCATCGATGGCTGAGAGCACGCAGAGCTCAGTGCAAGGTGCTGGGAGCATTGCATTGATGGCTGAGACCATGCACAGCTCAGTGCAAGGTGCTGGGAGCGTTGCATTGATGGCTGAGACCATGCACAGCTCAGTGCGTGGTGCTGGGAGCATTGCTCTGGTGCTGAGAGCAGGCACAGCTTTGTGCAGGTACGGTGTAGGGGGTATTTCATTGGTGGCTGAGACCATGCGTGGTGCTGAGGGCACTGCAGTAGTGGCTGAGATCGTGCACAGAGCTGTGCATGGTGCAGGGGGCATTGCATCGATGGCTGAGAGCATGCACAGCCCAGTGCAAGGTGCTGGGAGCGTTGCATTGATGGCTGAGACCATGCACAGCTCAGTGCATGGTGCTGGGAGCATTGCATTGATGGCTGAGACCATGCACAGCTCAGTGCAAGGTGCTGGGAGCGTTGCACTGATGGCTGAGACCACGCACAGCTCAGTGCATGGTGCAGGGGGCATTGCATTGATGGCTGAGACCATGCACAGCTCAGTGCATGGTGCAGGGGGCATTGCATTGATGGCTGAGACCATGCACAGCTCAGTGCATGGTGCAGGGGGCATTGCATTGATGGCTGAGACCATGCACAGCTCAGTGCAAGGTGCTGGGAGCGTTGCACTGATGGCTGAGACCATGCACAGCTCCATGCACCATCCCAAGGCACCGCAGGCCCCCATTTTGGGGGCAGCTCTCACCTGCACCTCGCAGGCTGCCTGCAGGTGGAAGATGCTGTAGAAAGCCTCCTCAGCCGTGTCGCCCAGCGCCAGCACCCCGTGGTTGCGCAGCACCAAGATCTGCGGTGGCAAAGGAGCATCAGCACAGTGTGTGGGGTTGGGGGGGGGGCTGTTACCAGCACCGTGATTCCCCCCAGACCCACCTTGCAGGTGGGGCCGAGGCACTTCTGCAGCTCAACCCGGTCGGCTTCGTCCTCCACCTCACCACGGAAGTCGAAGTAGGCGATGTCCCCCAGCAGCAGCGCAGCGCGGGAGATGGGCAGCACGCCGCAGCGCATGGCTGACACCTGCGGCACGGCACGGTATGGCACCACGTGGCACGGCACGACACGGCGCGACATGACAGCACGGCACGACATGGCGACATGGCACAAGGCAACACAGCAAGGCAGAATGTGGCGCAGAACAGCACCGGCTGGCACAGCAGGGCACGGCACAGCTGGGCACAATACGGCACAGCGTTGGCACAGCCTCGTGTTGTGGAACAACACAGCGTGGCACAGAGCGACACGGCACAAAGTGGCACAGAATGGAATGGGGCAACGTGGCACAGCAGCACAACGTGGCACAGCAGCACAATGTGGCACAGCAGCACAACGTGGCACAGCAGCACTCTGTACAAAGTAATGTGGCACAATATGGCACAGAACAACGTGGCATGAAGTTGCACAATACAGCATGGCACAACACGGCACGATGTGGCACAGAACAACACAAAGTAGCACAGCGTGACGCAGCACAACATGGCACCCTGTGGCATGGAGTAGCATGGCGTGGCACAGAGAAATATGGCACGAGGTGGCACAGAGCATCAGGGCACAATATGGCACGGCACAACACAAGGTAGCACAGAGAAATGGGGCGCAATATGGCACAATAGGGCACAACACAACACAGCACGAGGTGTCACAGAGCAATATGGCAGAGTTTGGCACAAGGTAAAACAGTATGGCCCAATATGGTCCAGCACAACACAATATGGCCCAATAGGGCACCATACAGCACGACACAACACAAGGTGGTACAAGACGGCACAAAATGGCACAATATGGCACAATATGGCCCAATACAACACAACGTGGCACAATAGGGCAAAATGTGGCCCAACGCAACACAATATGAGCCAATGTGGGCCAATATGGCCCTACACAACACAACATGGCCCAATAGGGCACAATGGGGCACAATCGGGCAGAATATGGTCCAATATGGCACAGTATGGTCCAGTATGGCCCTACACAACACAATATGGCACAACAGTGCACAATAAGGACCAATAGGGCACAGTAGGGCCCAACACAACACAATATGCCTGATACGGCCCAACACAATACAATATGGCACAATAATGCACAATAAGGCCCAATAGGGCACAATATAGCCCAATATAACACAACACGACACAATATACTACAATATATCACAATATGGCACAATAAGGCACAATATGGCACAATATGGCCCTACACAACACAATATGGCCCAATAGGGCCCAATAAAACACATTATATAACAATATGGTCCAACACAACGCAATATGGCACAACAGGGCACAATAAGGCCCAATTGGCACAATATGGCCCAATTGGCACATTATAGCCCAATATAACACAATATATTACGATATATCACAATATGGCCCAACAGAACACCATATGGCCCAGCACAACACCATATGGCTCAGTGTGGCCCAATAGGACACAATACGGCCCAATATAACGCATTATATAACAATATGGCCCAACACAACGTTGGCACAACAGTGCACAGTAAGGTCCAATAGGGCACAATAAGGCACAGTAGGGCACAATATAGCCCAATATAATAAAATATAACACAATACAACACGATATGGCCCAATACGGCCCTACACAACACAATATGGCCCAACATAACCCTATACAACCCAATAGGGACCAACACAACCCAACGTAGCCTAATACAACACATTATATCACAATATGGCCCAGCACAACACCATATGGCCCAATAGGGCCCAATAGGGCCCAATACAACACATTTTATCACAACATGGCCCAGCACAACACCATATGGTCCAATACAGCCCGACACAACACAGTATGGCCCAGTAGGGCACAATAGGACTCAACACAACACAATATGGCACAATAAGGCCCAATATGGCCCAACGTAGCCCAACGCAACACATTATATCACAGCATGGCCCAACACAACACATTATATCACAATATGGTCTGACACAACACAACGTAGCCCAATATATCACAATATGGCCCGACACAACACATTATATCACAATATGGCCAGACACAACACAACATGGCCCAACACAACACATTTTATCACAGCATGGCCCAATACAACACAATATATCGCAATATGGCCCAACACAACACATTATATCACAGTATGGCCCGACACAAAACAACACAGCCCAACACAACACAGTATATCACAATACGGCCCTACACAACACATTATATCACAGCGTGGCCCAACACAACACAATATATTGCAATACGGCCTGACACAACACAATATATCACAATATGGCCAGACACAACACATTATATCACAACATGGCCCGACACAACACAGTATATCACAGCATGGCCCAACACAACACATTATATCGCAATACGGCCTGACACAACACATTATATCACAATATGGCCAGACACAACACATTATATCACAACACGGCCCGACACAACACAGTATATCGCAATACGGCCCAACACAACACAATATATCACAATATGGCCCGACACAACACAATATATCACAATACGGCCCGACACAACACAGTATATCACAATACGGCCCAACACAACACAATATATCACAATATGGCCTGACACAACACAATATATCACAATATGGCCCGACACAACACAATATATCACAATATGGCCTGACACAACGCATTATATCGCGATATGGCCCGACACAACAGCCCTCCCTCCCTCTCACCGCCGCCGTTGCCGGGGTGTGCAGGCGCACGATGCAGCGGGCGTCGGGGCGGGCGGCGTAGATGGCGGCATGGAGGCTGAAGGCACGAGCATCGGGGGCAAAGTCGGTGCTGCCCTGCTCCACCACATCGCCCAGCACGTTCACCTTGATCTGAGGGGAGAGGAGGGGCTCTCACAGCCTGGGGTATCGGGGATATTGGGGGGGGGGTCGTGGGGGGGGTAGGGGGGCGCTCACCAGGCTGGCTGCGGTCACCTCACTGCACGCCAAACCTTGGGGGGCCACCAGGAAGTGCTCCTGTTCTTTGCTGACCCTCAGCTGGGGGGGGGGGAGAGGATGGAAGGTGAATGGAAGTGAAAAGGGGGAGGGGAGGGGGAAAAGGGGGAGGGGAGATGAGGGGGGGAGAAAAGGGGGAGATGGGGGGGGAAAAAGGGGGAGTGGGGGAAAAAGGGGGGGGAGGGAGAAAAGAAAGGGGGGAGATGAGAGGGGGAAGAAGGGGGAGGGGGAAAAAGGGGGGGGAGGAGATGAGGGGGGAAAAGAAACGGGGGAGATGGGGGGGGAAATGGGGGAGGGGAGGGGGAAAAAGGGGGGGGAAGAAAGGGGGGAAGGGAAGGGGGAAAAGGGAGGAGGGGAGATGGGGGGGGAAGAGAAAGGGGGGGAGATGGGGGGGGGAGAAGAAAGGGGGGAGGGGAGGGGAAAAGAAGGGAGGGAGGAGGGGGAAAAAGGGGGAGAAAAAAGGGGGAAAAGGGGAGAAGGGAGGGAAAGGGGAATAAAAAATAGAAATGAAATTAGAAACCAAATAGAAAATCTGAAAAGACTGAAAACAGAGTTTGAAAAAGAAAAGAAGATGGAAGACGTCAATAGGGATGAAAAAAAGGAAGAGGAAGAGGAAGAGGAAGAGGAAGAGGAAGAGGAAGAGGAAGAGGAAGAGGAAGAGGAAGAGGAAGAGGAAGAGGAAGAGGAAGAGGAAGAGGAAGAGGAAGAGTCGACAGAAATAAAGGGAAAAAATGTAAAATAAATGAAATAAAGCAGTAAAAATGAGTAAAAGGAAAATTAAAAATAAACAATAAAGGAGAAAAATCAAATGACCCAAAGCAAAGTAAATGGATAAAATAAAAACAAATTAAAAGGATTAAAAGCCAAGCAATAAATTGTGAAAATAAATGAAATAAATAATGAATTGAATAATAAATAGCTAATTAAACAGCAAATGAAAATCAATCACGTGATGCACAGCAATGAATGGTGATAAATGAAATAATAAATAAGAAGTAAATGAAGTAATTGATGAATGCAGTAAATAGGAAACAAAAAATAGTAATGTGAAACTGCAGAATGAATAAATGATTGAAAATTAATAGGATGGATAAAAATTAATAGAAAGGATAAAAATTAACAGAATGGGTAAAGAAAAAATGTAAGAAGTGAATGAAAGTAAAATGCATAAAGGGAATAAAGGGAAATAAATCTGATGGGAAGCTGTGAATGAAGTCGGAATGAAAGGGAAACACGGAACTGAGTGGGGATAAATGGAATAAATGGAAGGAGGAGAAGGTAGGAATGAAATTAAAGGTGAAATAAATCAAAGGAAGTGAAATAAATGCAGCCAAGTGGGTGAAATAAAGCAGGAAAACCAAGAAAAAAATGGGTGAAATAAATTAAAAGTGGGTGAAACAGAAATGGCAAATTAAGAGAAATAGATAAAGTGAGAAGGGTGAAGTAAGTAGAGCGAGATAAGAGAAATAAAGAATAGAGCAAAATAAGAAATAAATAGAGCAAAATAAGAGAAATAAAGTGAAAAAAGTTAAATAAATGGAGCAAAATAAGAGAAATAAATAAAGTGAAAAGGGTGAAATAAATGGAGCAAACTAAGAGGAATAAATGGAGCAAAGTAAGAGAAACAAAAACCCGAGGTCGATAAAACAAGCGCAATCCATAACCATCAAACACGTGACACAAAACCCAACTCCACGCTTCCCCTCCCCCCGTGAAGCAACGCGAAAGGAAAAACCCGAAACGGCTTTAATAAAACGCCCCGAACGTCGCCCGGCCGTCGGGAGGACAAACGGACGCGTTGGAAAGCAGAGAAAAAGAGCGAGGGGCGAAACTCGGCGCGGTGCTCACGGTGACGGCCGCGTGGCCCAGCTGCGCCCAGCCGTACAGATCCAGCAGGCGGTGCACGCTGCTCGCTTTGCAGCGCATCAAGCGCTCCCCCTTGGCCAGGGCTGGAGCGTCCGGACCGTGGAGGTCGTTGATGGGAGTCACCGCTGTCAGACCTGCGGGGACACAGGGAGAGCGTGGGGGGATGTGGGGACAGCGGGGGGACACAACGTGGGGACAGCACTGGGGGGACAGCGACAGTGTGGGGTGATGTGGGGACAGCAAGGGGACACACTGGGGGGACACAACATGAGGGGACAGTGTGGGGACACTATGGGGATGCATTGGGGGGGACAAAATGTGGGGACAGCATTGGGACACAGAGTGGGGTGATGTAGGGACAGCGGGGGGACATAATGTGGGGGGACACAACGTGGGGGGACAGTGTGGGGACACTATGGGGACACAACATTGGGGCAACATGGGGACATATTGGGGGGACAAAATGTGGGGACACAGTGGGGACACAGGGAGAGTGTGGGGTGATGTGGGGACATCAGGGGGACACAACGTGGGGACACAACGTGGGGATGATGTGGGGACAGTGAGGGGACACTGTGGTGACACAATGGGGATGCATTGGGGGGGACAAAATGTGGGGACAGCATTGGGACACAGAGTGGGGACAGAGGGAGAGTGTGGGGTGATGTGGAGACAGCAGGGGGACACAACGTGAGGGGACACAACATGGGGTGATGTGGGGACAGTGAGGGGACAATATGGGGACACAACATTGGGGCAACATGGGGACATATTGGGGGACAAAATGTGTGGACAGTGTGGTGACACAGGGAGAGTGTGGGGTGATGTAGGAACAGCAGGAGGGCACAACATGGGGGGACAAAACATGCGGGGACAGAGGGACAGTGTGGGGTGATGTGGGGACATCAGGGGGACACACTGGGGGGCCAAAATGTGGGGACAGCATTGGGACACAGGGTGGGAACACAGGGAGAGTGTGGGGTGATGTGGGGACATCAGGGGGACACAACGTGGGGACACAACGTGGGGATGATGTGGGGACAGTGAGGGGACACTGTGGTGACACTATGGGGATGCATTGGGGGGGACAAAATGTGGGGACAGCATTGGGCCACAGTGTGGGGTGATGTGGGGACAGCGGGGGGACACAACGTGGGGGGACACAACGTGGGGGGACACAACGTGGGGGGACACAACGTGGGGACAGCATTGGGGGGACAGCGACAGTGTGGGGTGATGTGGGGACAGCAGGAGGACACACTGGGGGGACACAACATGGGGGGACAGTGTGGGGTGATGTGGGGACAGTGAGGAGACACTATGAGGACACAACATGGGGACATATGGGGGGGACAAAATGTGGGGACACAGTGGGGGGACACAGGGAGAGTGTGGGGTGATGTGAGGACAGCAGGGGGACACAGCATGGGGAGACACAACATGGGGGGACAGAGGGACAGTGTGGGGTGATGTGGGGACATCAGGGGGACACAACGTGGGGACACAACGTAGGGATGATGTGGGGACAGTGAGGGGACACTGTGGTGACACAATGGGGATGCATTGGGGGGGACAAAATGTGGGGACAGCATTGGGACACAGTGTGGGGTGATGTGGGGACAGCGGGGGGACACAACGTGGGGGGACACAACGTGGGGGGACACAACGTGGGGGGACACAACGTGGGGACAGCATTGGGGGGACAGCGACAGTGTGGGGTGATGTGGGGACAGTGAGGAGACACTATGGGGACACAACATGGGGACATATTGGGGGGACAAAATGTGGGGACACAGTGGGGACACAGGGAGAGTGTGGGGTGATGTGGGGACATCAGGGGGACACAACGTGGGGACACAACGTGGGGATGATGTGGGGACAGTGAGGGGACACTGTGGTGACACAATGGGGACGCATTGGGGGGACAAAATATGGGGACAGCATTGGGACACAGAGTGGGGACAGAGGGAGAGTGTGGGGTGATGTGGAGACAGCAGGGGGACACAACGTGAGGGGACACAACATGGGGTGATGTGGGGACAGTGAGGGGACACTATGGGGACACAACATTGGGGCAACATGGGGACATATTGGGGGACAAAATGTGTGGACAGTGTGGTGACACAGGGAGAGTGTGGGGTGATGTAGGAACAGCAGGAGGGCACAACATGGGGGGACAAAACATGCGGGGACAGAGGGACAGTGTGGGGTGATGTGGGGACATCAGGGGGACACACTGGGGGGCCAAAATGTGGGGACAGCATTGGGACACAGGGTGGGAACACAGGGAGAGTGTGGGGTGATGTGGGGACATCAGGGGGACACAACGTGGGGACACAACGTGGGGATGATGTGAGGACAGTGAGGGGACACTGTGGTGACACTATGGGGATGCATTGGGGGGGACAAAATGTGGGGACAGCATTGGGACACAGAGTGGGGTGATGTGGGGACAGCAGGGGTACAGAATGTGGGGAAAAGGTGGGGACAGCGGGGGACATAATATGGGACACCGTTTGGGGATGATCTGGGTCTGTGGGGGGACACTATGGGGACACCATAGCACGGCAGGAGGACAATGTGGGGACAATGTGGTGATAGTGGGGGGAGAAGAGGAGAACAAAATGTGGGGACGCAGCATGGGGACGATGTGGGAACGTGACATAGGGACAGCAGGGACACAACATGGGGACACGGCGTGGGAACACAGGGAGAGTGTGGGGTGATGTGGGGACAGCATGGGGGGACAAGGACAATGTGGGGGTGATGTGGGGACAGTGGGGAGACAATGGGGGGCCACGACATGGGGACATAACAGGAAGATAGCATTGGGACACAGTTGGGTACAATGTGGGGACATAATGTGGGGACAGTGGGGGGACAGAACATTGGGACAACATGGGGACACATAGGGGGGGACAAAATGTGGGGACAGCATTGGGACACAGTGTGGGGACACAGGAACAGCGTGGGGTGATGTGGGGACAGCGGGGGGACAGAATATGGGAGAGAGTTTGGGGATGATGTGGGGACAACATTGGGACACAGCGTGGGGACACGGGGCAGTGCAGGAGAACAACGTGGGGACATGGGGAACAAAACATGGGGACAATGTGGTGATAGTGGGGGACAGGAGGGGACAATGTGGGGACACAGCATGGGGACGATGTGGGAACGTGACATAGGGACAGCAGGGACACAACACAGGGACATGGCGTGGGGACACAGGGACAGCGTGGGGTGATGTGGGGACAGCAGGGGGCACAATGAGGGGACAATGTGAGGACATTGGGGGGACACAACGTGGGTACAGCGTTGGGATAATGTGGGGACAACATGGGGACAATGTGGGAACACAACGTGAGGATGACGTGGGGGCAGGAGGGGACACAACATAGGGACACAGCATAGGAATGACGTGGGGACAGCAGGGACACAAGATGGAGACAGCGTCAGGACAATGTGGGGACAGCAGAGGGACAACGGGGGGACAAAGCAGGGACAGCAGGGGACACACATAGGGATGGGGGGAACACAAAGTGGGGACAGCATTGGGACGGTGAGGGGATGCAACACTGGGACAACATGGGACAGTTTGGGGACATGACATGAGAACAACGTGGGGACACAACATGGGGACAATGGGGGGAGCAACATCCAGACAGCGTGGAGGCAGCAGGGGGACAATGTATGGAGAATGTGGGGACAGAAGGAGGACACAACATGGGGACAGCGTTGGGACACAATATTGGGACAACACGGGGACAACATGGGGATGCAGTGCGGGGACAACATGGAGACGATGCGGGGACAGCAGGGGGACACAACGTGGGGGGCGAAACACAGTGGAGAGATTGCATGGGGGAGGTGTGGGGACAGCAGGGGACCAACATTTGGACAAGATGGGGGCAGCGGGGGGACACAGCATGGGGACACCGCGCTCCATCCCCCAGCCCTCTCCCACCTTTCCCACTGGGAGCGGCACGCTGAGCGCTTGGCGATGTTCTCCGAACCAGAAGCGTCCCCAGATCCTTCCCTTTTTGTCCCCAAAAGTCCCCTTCCACCCCCTCTGAGCCCCCTCCCCCCCCCCCCCAGCCGTACCCATGGGGGAGGTGGGCAGGGTGGCGGGGGACGTGGTGGCCACGAAGTCTGCGATCTGCCGCAGCGCCCACACGTGGGACGAGTTGTTGCCCTTCTTCATCTGCTCCTGGATGAGGCTCTCCAGCTCCTCCCTGAAAGACTGCAGAGCGCGGCGTCACCGAACCCAAAGGTGTCCAGAATGGGGACATTTTGGTGGCACCGCGGTGGTGGCATCTCTGCATGGGTGGCGGCGTTGCCAGGGGGTTGGGGAAAGCGGGGGTAGCCGTGGGGGGGGGATGATGGCATCGAGGTGGTGGTGACATCATGGTGGCATCACCAACTTGGTGCCATGGGGATGGTGGTGACATCATGGTGGCATCACCAATTCGGTGCCATGGGGATGGTGGTGACATCATGGTGGCATCACCAAGATGGCGCCATGGGGATGGTGGTGACATCATGGTGGCATCACCAACTCGGAGCCATGGGGATGGTGGTGACATCATGGTGGCATCACCAATTCGGCATCATGGGGATGGTGGTGACATCATGGTGGCATCACCAACTTGGTGCCATGGGGATGGTGGTGACATCATGGTGGCATCACCAACTCGGTGCCATGGGGATGGTGGTGACATCATGGTGGCATCACCAACTCGGAGCCATGGGGATGGTGGTGACATCACGGTGGCATCACCAACTCGGCGCCATGGGGATGGTGGTGACATCATGGTGGCATCACCAACTCGGTGCCATGGGGACGGTGGCACCAGCAGCCTGATGAAGCGCCATCATGAAGATGGTGACATCATGGCGACGCCACCAATTGAGTGTCGTGGGGACGGTGGCACCAGCAGCTTGGTGGAAGTGCCACCATGAAGGTGATGGCACCGTGAGGACATCACATCACATCACATCTCGGTGGCATGGTGACGGTGACATCATGGTGACATCATGGTGACATCATGGTGACATCACCAACTTGGTGGCATGGGGACGGTGGCACTGCCAACTTGATGGACGTGCCACCGCGGTGACATCGCCAACATGGCGCCATGGGGATGGTGGTGGCATCACGGTGACATCGGCGGCTTGGTGACACCAGCAGGTGAGTGGGGCTCTGCACCAACGCAGAGCGGCATTTGCTTTTGGGGCAGGAGGGATTTTTGGGGACAGAAGGGACAGGGATGGGACAAGAAAGATGGGGTGAAGTCAAAGCAACATTTGGGTTCAAAAAGAGGAGAAGGGGAGACATTTGGGGTTTAGGAGGGGTGGGATGGAGCTGGGCTGGGGCAGGAGGAACATTTGGGGACAGAACATTTGGGGACAGGGCCAGGAAGAACAGGATGGGAAAGGAGGAGCATTTGGGGCCAAGGAGGGATGGGGCAGGAGGAACATTTGGGATCAAGAAGGATGGGATGGGGCTGAAACGGGGCAGGAGGAACATTTTGGGGACAGAAGGGACGTGAATGGGGGCAGGAGGGGTGGGATGGAGGAGAAGGAACATTCGGGGTCAGGAAGGATGATGGATCCAGGACACGGCAGGAAGAAGATTTGGGGTCAGGAGAGATGGGATGGGAAAGGAGGAATGTGGGGCCAAGAAGGAATGGGATGAGAGGGGGATGGAGCAGGAGGAACATTTGGGGACAGAAGCGGCGTGGATGGATGGGGCAGGAAGAACATTTGGGGTCAGGAAGAATGGGATGCATTTGGTATGGGAAAGGAGGAGCATTTGGGGCTGGGATGGGGCAGGAGAATCATTTTGGGGACAGAACATCTGGGGACATGGATAGGGCCAGGAAGAACGGGATGGGGCAGGAGGAACATTTGGGATCGAGAAGGATGGGATGGGGCTGAAACGGGGCAAGAGGAACATTTGGGGTCAGAAGGGACATGAATGGGGGCAGGAGGGGTGGGATGGAGGAGGAGGAACATTCGGGGTCGGGAAGGATGGGATGGGGCTGGGATGGGGCAGGAGGAACATTTGGAGACATGGATAGGGCCAGGAAGAACGGGATGGATTTGGGATGGGAAAGGAGGAGCATCTGGGGTCAAGAAGGATGGGATGGGGCTGAAACGGGGCAGGAGGAACATTTGGGGTCAGAAGGGACATGAATGGGGGCAGGAGGGGTGGGATGGGGCAGAAAGAATATTTGGGATCAAGAAGGATGGGATGGAGCTGAAATGGGGCAGGAGGAACATTGGGGGACAGAACATTTGGGGATAGGGCCAGGAAGAACGGGATGGGTTTGGGATGGGAAAGGAGGAGCATTTGGGGTCAAGGAGGGGTGGGGCTGGGATGGGGCAGGAAGAACATTTGGGGACAGAAGGGACATGAATGGGGGCAGGAGGAACATTTGGGATCAAGAAGGATGGGATGGGGCTGGGATGGGGCAGGAGGAACATTTGGGGTCAGGAAGGATGGGATGAAGCAGGAGGAATGTTTAGGATCAGGAAGGCTTGGATGGGGCAGGAGGCCGTTTGTAGGGTCAGGGGCCGCCGCTCACCGGGCTCTGTAGGATCATGGTGACCCTCTTCTTCTGCTCCATCATGTTGAAGTCCTGCCTCAGGTCGGCCGCCATGTTGCGCTCCCGCAGGTATTCGGGGTCGTCTTCGGGGAAGCGATCGAAGTATCGGGGTCCGGGGGGGGACGGGGGGGGCTCAGGGCTGGCAGCCGTGCTCATGGCGGCGGCCCTACAGACAGCAGGACGTGCAGCGCGGCCCTATTGCCGCCCCAATCGCCCCACAGCGCCCCGGTTCCCATTGCAAGCAGCGCCAGAGAGAAACACGGGGGAGGGGATGGGGGGGGGGGGGGGGGACAACGGGGGGGGAGACGACAACCCCTGCCTGCGCCCTATAGATAAGGGCTCCAGCGCCCCCGCCCTGTGTGGGGTGATGGGATGTAAGGGGGGGGGAAGTGAATAGAGGGGAAAATTGGGAAATCCTGGGGAAATGGGGTGAATGCTGTGCCCCCCCCCCCCCCCAAAGGCTGTAATTTTGGGGAGAGCATCACACACACCCAGCCCCCCCCCCCATAGAAAGCATCCCCCACCCCAGCCAGCAGCGGGGCTGCACGCAAGGCCCCAGCACCCAAATAACTCCTTCAACCCCTAAACGCCCCCCCTGCCCCCAATGTCCCCCCCCCGGGGTGTTCATTCACAACACCACACAACCCTCATGCACCCCCCCCCCAAAATATCACCCACCTGCAGCAAGCAGCGACCCACAGCTGTTCCTATGGTAACAATAATGGGGGCGGCTCAGTGCCCCCCCCCCGGCATTAAATCAGAATTGGGTGGTGGTGGGGGGGGGGTGTTGGGATATTATGGGGTGGGCCGCCCCCCCCCCCTCACCACACCCAACCCCTCTGCGGCACCGCAGAGCGCAGCGCTGGCTGATGGATGGATGGGGGGGGGGTTGGGGAATGGAAAAAGGGCGATTCTCTATGGGGGAGGAAAGAGGACCCGGCCCTATAGACACAATGCGATGGATGGGGGGGGGGGGTCATTCCCTGTTTGTGCATTAGGATGAAGCCGGGGGTGGGATGCGCTCCCCTCCCCCCCACCCAGATAGGGATGCAAACAAAAGAATTGAGATATTGGGGGGGGGGAAGAGAAGAAAACAGGAGAAGGCGAACACAGGTGATTTCCCGCCCCCCCCCCAGCATCCCCTCCTCGCGACCCCCATCCTATTATCGTTACACAGCGCGATGCCCAGCAGGTGCATCCCCCCCCCCCCCCCCAACCCGCACCCACCTCTCAGCGCATCTCCCACACGTGACAGCGCCCGACGGGGACACGCGTGGTTCTGTGCCCCCCCCCCCAACTCTCAAGCCCCCCCCCCCCCCCCTCCCACCGGGCTCCACTCGGCGATGACAAAGAGCCCCTCCCCGCTCCCGGAGCGCCCCCTGCCGGCTGAGCCCCGCAGAGCATCAACGCCCCCCCCCCCCATCACCCCATCGCCCCCCCCCCAACCCAACCCCAACTCTCCCCCCCCCCCCAAAAAAAAAAAAAAACCCAAACCAAAACCCTCATTAATTCAGTGCGCCTTTAATGAGCGCACCCACCTGGGGCGCAGCGCAGGTGCCGGAGCCCAATTACGCTTTAATGAGCAATTAAAGGCACCGCCTCCCTCCGACCCCTCCCCCCTCCGAACAGCGCTACGAGGACGCGGAGCTCCATAGCATCAATGCGGGGGGGGGGAGTTGAAATCAATTCTGGTTTGGGGGCACCGAAATCAGCGCTGGGGACATCAGCGTCGCTCCGGTCCCCCCCCTCCCCCCCCCCCCCCCAAATCTTCATTAATTTTCTTAGGGATGTGCAGGAAGCGTCTGGAAAAGAGAGAGAATATTTCTCAACCGAAGGTTTTGGGTTTTTTTTTTTTTTGGGGGGGGGGGGGGGGCGCTGATTTGGGGCATCCCGTGTGTGATGCCCCCCCCCCCCCCCCCAAACCTTCGGGGGATTCAACATGATGGGCGCCCCCCACCCTAAAAAATAACCTCCCAGGTCCCCCCCCCCCCCCCCCCCCGTCCCAACTCACCGCCTGCAGCCGCCCCACGCAGGGCTGGGAGCCCCACGGCTGCGGTTGGGGGGCAGACGGGGGCCAACCGCCCCCCCCCGGGGTCACTTCCTGACTGCCGCCCCCCGCTCCGTCCTGCCAAAAACATTTAAAGCTTTTTACCCCAAGATAAAAAAACATCACAGCGGCTTCAGCAGCGCAACGACACCACGCGGCCCCCAAACTCCCCCTGTAGGATCCCCCAGGTAGGATTTTGGGGGTGGGGGTACCTGCAGCCCCCCCGCGTCCCGCAGCACAGCCCGCAGCAGGCGGATGTATTCGGCGGCTGCCCGCAGGGTGTCGGCTTTGCTGGGTTTGCGATCCTGGGGCATCAAAGGAACCAAAGCCTTCAGGGCTGAGAAGCCGCTGTTCAGATTCCTGATCTGGAACGGGGAGAGACCCCAAATCGCGTCGGCGTTGCCCGAAGCCCACCCCAAAAGCAGCCCCAAAAATCAGCCCAGAACCCGGGGCAAATCACGCCGGCCCCAAGCCCCAGAACACCAACATCAGCCCTGACCCCAAAGCACAGGGTGAACCCCCGATCCCAAATCAGCCCTGACCCCAAAGCACAGGGTGAACCCCGATCCCAAATCAGCCCTGACCCCAAAGCACAGGGTGAACCCCGATCCCAAATCAGCCCTGACCCCAAAGCACAGGGGTGAACCCCGATCCCAAATCAGCCCTGACCCCAAAGCACAGGGTGAACCCCGATCCCAAATCAGCCCTGACCCCAAAGCACAGGGTGAACCCCGATCCCAAATCAGCCCTGACCCAAAGCACAGGGGTGAACCCCGATCCCAAATCAGCCCTGACCCCAAAGCACAGGGTGAACCCCGATCCCAAATCAGCCCTGACCCAAAGCACAGGGGTGAACCCCGATCCCAAATCAGCCCTGACCCCAAAGCACAGGGTGAACCCCGATCCCAAATCAGCCCTGACCCCAAAGCCCAAGGGCAAACCCAGAACCCAGACACCAATGTCAACCCCTGACCCAAAACGCAGTGCATCTTCTGACCCAAATCAGCCCTGACCCCAAATCCCAGAACAGCAGCCCCAAAGACCGAGGGCAAACCCTGACCCCAAACCCCAGGGCAGGACATGACCTCAAATCAACGTGGACCCCAAGCCCCTGGGCAAATCCTGACCCCAAAGCAGCTATGATAAAAGCCAAGGGCAAATCCTGACCCCCAAACCGATGATGACCCCAAATCTCAGAACCCCAACATCTGCCCTGACCCCAAGGCACAGGGTGAACCCCAATCTTGAATCAGTATTGGCCCCAAAGCCCAAAGGCGAGCCCAGAACTCAGACCCCACAACTCAAGGTGCATCCTAACCCCAAATCAGCCCTGATCCCAAAAGCCAGACCCCAAGGGCAAACCTTGACTCAAAGCCCAGTGCACACTCTGACCCCAAATCAGCCCTGACCTCACATCAATACTGGCCCCAAATCCCAGAACTCCAGCCCCAAAAACTCAAACCCCAAAATCAACCCTGATCCCAAATCAACATTGACCCCAAAATCCTAAAACAGCCCCAAACTCAAATCAATGTTGATCCCAAAAGCCAAGGGCAAACCCCAGAACCCCCAAACCCCAGAACCCCCAAACCCCAGAACCCCCCAAACCCCAAACCCCAACGTCACATCAGCATTGACCCCAAAACCCTGACCCCAAACCCCCAGGAACCCTGAAACCCTGATAACTTCAAGTCCTCAAAGCCACAACTCCCAGTGACTCCAACCCCAAATAACTGCAGACCCCCCAAAAAAACCTCAAACCCAAGAACCCTGGCCCCAAACACCCACAGACCCCAAACCACACCTTGCCATAACCACAGACCCCAAGAACCCCAACCCTAAATGGCTGGGAGCCCCCAAACCCATCACTCCAGTGACTCTGACCCCCTAAAAGCCACGAACCCCATTAACTGCACACCCCTACAACCACGACCCCAAGAACCACGAATCCCCACCAACCCCCATAACTGTGGGCCGCCCGACCCCAAATGAGACAGAAAACCCAACAGACACAACACCCCCAGGACCCCCCCCACCCTATTTGGGGTCCCTCACCCTCTCCCTCTCTTTGGCATTGGCCACCCTCCTCCGTTCCAGGACCCCCTCGGGGTCCCCCACGGCCCTGTAGCCCCCATCGGGGTCGCGGCGCAGGCGGGCGATGGGGGCCGCGTGGGGCAGGGGGCCGCGCTGGCGGCTCAGCACCGCACCCAGCACCTCGGGGGGGGGGGTGGGCAGCAGCAGCCCCAGAGCCCCCCGCCGCTCCCCCCATAACCGAGCTGTGGGGCTGGAACCAGAAAGCAGGGCAGCTTCTGGCCAAAACCCCAAAACAGGGCTCCCAAAGCCCCTTAAATACCCTCGGCCTACGGGGCGGCTGCACCTGGTGCCCAGCTGGGCCTGACGAGCGGCGCCCTTTCCCCTAATTAGCGCTCGTTAGGGGCTGCACCGCTGGGCCCCGTCCGAATCTCGGCCCTAAAAGCAGCCGGTGAGGCAGGGCGACCCTGATCCCAAATCAACGCTGATCCCAAAGCCCAGGGATGAGCCTGGAACTCAAGGGCAAAAAGCCTGACCCCAATGTCCCTGACCCCAATAGCTGAAACCCCAATAGCTGAAACCCCAATAGCTGAAAGCCACAATCACTGCGACCCCAATAATCCCCCACAAACAGTGCCCCCAACAACCACAACCCCAAAACCTGGCACCCCCAACAACTGTGACCCCAATAACTGACACCCCTAACAGCCACGACCCCAAAACCTGACACCCCAATCACTGTGACCCCAATAGCTGACACTCCCAATAATCGTGACCCCAATAACTGACACCCCTAACAACCACGACCCCAATACCTGACAGCCCTGATAACCACGACCCCAATAACTGACACCCCAACCACCATAACCCCAATAATCCCCCACAAACAGTGCCCCCAACAACCACAACCCCAAAACCTGGCACCCCCAGCAACCATGACCCCAATAAACGACACCCCTACCAGCCACGACCCCAAAACCTGGCACCCCAATCACTGTGACCCCAATAACTGACACCCCAAGAACTCATCCCAAATCAACATTGACCCCAAAATCCCAAAACAGCCCCAAACTCAAATCAACGTTGATCCCAAAAGCCAAGGGCAAACCCCAGAACCCCAAACCCCAACATCACATCAGCATTGACCCAAAACCCTGACCCCAAAGCCCCAGGAACCCTGAAGCCCTGATAACGGAGACCCCAATAACTGACACCCCTAACAGCCACGACCCCAAAACCTGGCACCCCCCAATCACTGTGACCCCAATAATCCCCCCAAAACAGTGCCTCCAACAACCATGACCCCAAAACCTGATGCCCCCAACAACCGTGACCCCAATAACTGACACCCCTGATCCTGATAACCACGACCCCAATAACTGACGCCCCAATCACCATGACCCCAATAATCCCCCACAGACAATGCCCCCAACGACCACGACCCCAAGAACTGATCCCAAATCAGCATTGACCCCAAAATCCCAAAACAGCCCCAAACTCAAATCAATGTTGACCCCAAAAGCCAAGGGCAAACCCCAGAACCCCAAACCCCAGAACCCCAAACCCCAGAACCCCAAACCCCAACGTCACATCAGCATTGACCCCAAAACCCTGACCCCAAAGCCCCAGGAACCCTGAAGCCCTGATAACCGTGACCCCAATAACTGACACCCCTAACAGCCACGACCCCAAAACCTGGCACCCCCCAATCACTGTGACCCCAATAATCCCCACAAACAGTGCCCCCAACAGCCACGACCCCAATAACTGATACCCCAATATCTGTGACCCCAATAACCCACAACCCCAATCACCACGACCCCCTAAGCCGTGACCCCAACAACCACGACCCCAAAAACCCCTAACAATCAATAACCCCAATCACCACGACCCCAATAACCGACACCCCAATATCTGTGACCCCAGTAACTGACACCCCAAGAACTGATCCCAAATCAGCATTGACCCCAAAACCCTGACCCCAAAGCCCCAGGAATCCTGAAGCCCTGATAACTGTGACCCCAATAACTGACACCCCCAATAACCATGAACCCAACAACCACGACCCCAATAACTGATACCCCAATATCTGTGACCCCAATAACCAATACCCCAATAATTGATACCCCAATAACTGACACCCCAATAACCACGACCCCAAAAAGCACGACCCCAATAACTGACGCCCCAATATCTGTGACCCAATAACCGACACCCGGAACCCTGACCTCAAACCCCCGACCCCAAACTCCAACGTGTGGCCCCGCGTCCCTACTATTATGGGATGCCGAGCCCGAGCGGCGCTCATAGGGCGGCACGGCTCGGTAGGGGGCGGTGCGACCCCACAGCCGCCGCTGCGCCCTACAGCTGCCGGGAAATGGGGGAAACCCCCCTGAACCCCTCGGGAACGGGGCGGCTGTTGGGGTCGGAGCGACCGGGGGCGTCGGGTTTTGGGGTCGCGGTTGTTGGGGGTATCGGTTATTGGGGTCACAGATATTGGGGTATCAGTTATTGGGGTCGTGGTTGTTGGGGGTATTGATTGTGGGGGGTTTTTGGGGTCACGGCTTGGGGGGTCGTGGTTATTGGGGGTGCCGGTTATTGGGGTATCAGTTACTGGGGTATCGGTTATTGGGGTCGTGGTTGTTAGGGGTGTCAGTTTTTGGGGTCACAGATATTGGGGCGTTGGTTATTGGGATCATGGTTATTGGGGTATCAGCTATTGGGGTCGTGGTTGTTGGGGGTATCAGTTATTGGGGTATCAGTTATTGGGGTATCGGTTATTGGGGTCGTGGTCATTGGGGTTATTGATTGTGGGGGGGTTTTGGGGTCGTGGTTGTTGGGGTCACGGCTTGGGGGGTCGTGGTGATTGGGGGTGTTGGTTATTGGGGTCACAGATATTGGGGTATCAGTTATTGGGGTCGTGGGTTATTGGGGTCACAGATATTGGGGTATCAGTTATTGGGGTCGTGGTTGTTGGGGGTATTGATTGTGGGGGGTTTTTGGGGTCACGGCTTGGGGGGTCGTGGTTATTGGGGGTGCCGGTTATTGGGGTGTCAGTTATTGGGGTGGTGCTTATTGGGGTCGTGGTTATTGAGGGTTTCAGTTATTGGGGTCATAGATATTGGGGGTGCCGGTTATTGGGGTATCAGTTATTGGGGTATCGGTTATTGGGGTCGTGGTCATTGGGGGTATTGATTGTGGGGGGGTTTTGGGGTCGTGGTTGTTGGGGTCACGGCTTGGGGGGTCGTGGTGATTGGGGGTGTTGGTTATTGGGGTCACAGATATTGGGGTACCAGTTATTGGGGTCGTGGGTTATTGGGGTTACCGATATTGGGGGTATCGGTTATTGGGGTCGTGCTTTTTGGGTTCGTGGTTATTGGGGTGTCGGTTATTGGGGTCACTGATGTTGGGGGTGTCGGTTATTGGGGTCGTGGTGATTGGGGTTATTGATTGTGGGGGTTTTTTGGGGTCGTGGTTATTGGGGGCGTTGGTTATTGGGGTCATGGTTATTGGGGTATCAGCTATTGGGGTCGTGGTTGTTGGGGGTATCAGTTATTGGGGTATCGGTTATTGGGGTCACAGATATTGGGGTCGTGGTCATTGGGGTTATTGATTGTGGGGGGGTTTTGGGGTCGTGGTTGTTGGGGTCACGGCTTGGGGGGTCGTGGTGATTGGGGTTGTGGGTTACTGGGGTCACAGATATTGGGGTATCAGTTATTGGGGTTGTGGGTTATTGGGGTCACAGTTATTGAGGGTATCGGTTATTGGGGTCATGGTTATCAGGGGTGTCAGTTATTGGGGTCACAGATATTGGGGTCACAGATATTGGGGTCATGGTTATCAGGGGTGTCAGTTATTGGGGTCACAGATTTGGAGGGATGGATTTGGGGTATTGTTGGGGTTTTGTTATTGGGGTTGTGGGTTTTGGGATGATGGTGACCGAGGGGATTTTTTTTTGGGGGGTCGTCAGTTATTGGGGTCGCGGTTATGGGGGCTGTGGGTTTTTAGGGTCACGGTTTTGGAGTCGGGGTTTTGGGGGCTGTCGGCGATTGGGGTCACAGTTATTGAGGGTTTTGTTATTGGGGTGGTGGTCATTGGGGCCATTGGGGTCACGGTTTGTGGGGTTGTGGTTTTGGGGGGTCGTGGCGATGGGGGAAACCCATTATTGGGGTGGTGGTGGTTGGCGCATTGTTTTGGGGGGGGCTGTGGGTTATGGGGTCGTGGTTATGGGGTGGCAGTGAATGGAGCCCTGGGTTTTGGGTACCGGGTCACTGGGGTGCTGGATTTTGGGATCGCGGTTACCGGAGGTTTGGTTTTGGGGTTTTGGGGTTCTTGGGATTACAGTTGGGTTGTAGATGTTGGCCCTCTGCTTTGGGGTGGGGGCAGACCCCATAAAGCCAGGGGTAATTATGGGCTGCGTGACGAACAAAATCCATTAGCGAACCCAAAGCCCCGCCGTGGGGCAGGGTTTGCTCCTCCGCCTT